AGGTGGGACCCAGTGGGTAATGCTGGCAGGGACCGAGCACAGTCTCCAAGAGGTCAGTTTGATGACCCAGTCAGCTAGGTTAGGCCCACTATAGCTGCATAGATGACAGCAGGCATACGTCACTTTCCTGTTGTCAGGACAACCACACCCCTTTTGGGTGAAAACAAGCACTGTATAGCATTTTGCACAACAAACAAAACAAAATAAAACGCTTTACCATTTTGTTTACTTCCCTAAAGAGCAAAGGACACTAAAAGAAGAGGTCTGTGGCTTCAGGCCATCACCAGAGAGGATGAAAATGGTAAACTGGCAAACACGCCACCACAGGTTAGTTAATGATGTTAAATGAGTAAATGACATGTACCAATTTTAGATTGAAACAAATCAGAAAAGAGCCTTAGTGATGGTGTAACTAAAAACTGTGAAAAAGGGGCACCAGTTAGCTCACTGCTTGAGCAGGCAACACGTGTACAAAGACCTGAGTTCTTACTGTAACGGCCCGGGTTCAGCTCTGACCTGTGGCCCTTTGCTGCATGTCATCCCCTTTCTCTCTCCCCCACATTTCCTGTCTCTTAACTGTCCTGTCACAAATAAAGGCAAAAAGCCCTCAAAATTTCTTAAAAAAGACAACTCGACCATAAAACATCTGCAGGGGGTAACGCATGTAAACACCAATAAATAAAAAATAAAAAACTACCTCCCTAGCTTTGTGTTTTTACAGGACACACTGTGCTTTCCATTTTGTGGATACTTTAAGTGTTCATCTAGCGCCATCAGCAGTGAAAAGTTTATGTCTAATCTTGCAAAACTATCAAGCCATCAGGGGTGTACTTTGGGTTTAGTGCTAAATTGAAAATGCTTTCATGCTAACACTCGAAACTAAGATGGTGAACATGGTAAGCATTATACCTTCTTACCATCAGTATGCTAGCATTGTCAGCTTGCTCACATTAGTACAGCCTCACAGAGCTGCTTGAATGGTAGACGCTTGCATTTTTCTGTCTCCACTGTCTTGCAGCTTGTGATGACTGTGTGTATATAGGTGAATGTGTTAATAGATTGCAGCATTACCTCCAAAGACATACGCCAGTCAACCACTCACTAGGTAGGAATCCAATTAGTCCAACAAAAGCAAATTTTCCTTATCTTAAATTCAAGGGCTATCAGCCTCTTGTAAGGCCACATGAGACGGCATTGTTGATTGTGTGGCTGCAATAAGAGCTGATGTAAATAGAATAAAATGTCCAGCCATAGAAAATTTTAACATTTCACAACAGTATAAATTAAATGCTTTAGGTATGGAGAGAATATAGCAGTAGTTGCCGTAGGTGACACAAGGTAACACAGCAGGAATATTCAGAGGAGCTTTGCTCAGCCAGGTTGTGACAGTCGTGTCCCACTCCATAAGCTAAGGGGCATTTTGTAACAAAGATGACCAGCGCAAGGTGCCAGAGCCGGTCTGTCGAACAAACGTTCCACCAGCCCCGGGCCATGCCAGCCTTGGCCAGGACGAGACAGATATGGTCCGGGGACGGGGCCTCCCCACTCCTCAACAGTCACATGCAAGCTGGAAAACACAGACTGCGCCTTCCATCGGGACCACAGTGAATGGAGGCGTAATTGGCCATATCTAGTGATAGATGGCTGTTCAACCTTTGTTACTCATCTGTGCCAGGATGCACAGAGGCTTGTCTCACAATATGAGGTTGATTGTGCAGTCTATTAAACACCAGTCTCAGGAGGAAATGTTACTTACTGGAATGCTGAGGCTTAAAAAAAATCTCAAGAATGATCTGATTTAAACACGTGTTCAATGATTGCCCATTATATTTCTGAGACGGTAAACATGACTATAAAATCTAATCATACTTAATGAATCATTTTCATTCATAGAGGTGACTAGGAAGATAGAACTTGGTATAATTATTCAAAATTATAACTCTTTGTCTCTCCGAAACATAATCAAACATATAAATTATGGTTTTTAAATTTTTGCAAAAAGATTCATGCATTCATTCATCATGTCACATCATACATCATTGTATTGGATTATTGGATTGGATTAATTACATAATTATTGAAAGCAGCAACAACACTCTACATCTTATTTTTGATCATGAAGCCAATTTACAGTGTGACTGGTGGAGTGTTTTCATTGACCTGTACTTCATCTCATTAAAGGCATAGGCATCTCTGACAATATGATTATAACAACAAAGATGGGGTTCTCTTCATGAAAAAGATTCAGATCACATCTGATCCCAGTACACTGAAGCTGTATGACAAGATTTATGTACCTTCATGTTGCCCAGAGAGTCTAGTGTACCTTGTGAAGGTATACACTCAAACTCCTGTACTGGAAAATCAATGGCTTGCATCATTGATGTGCTCAATGTTAAGGAAGAGAGAGTTGCCGTACATAAGGTTTTCTCAAAGCATGTCTGTTTTTGTTCAATAATCCAGTTACAAGGTAAAAATTCTGACGCAAGCAGGAAACAAACATCTCAGGAGATGATTTGTGAAAAACAAGCAGACAGAGACAAAGACGGCGGTGGGAGGAAATAAAGAAATGCAAGCAGAAATGAAATTGACTTCCCTCAAGGAAGTTTCCCTTTGCATTTGAGAGAGGTAGTACTAAAATGAACAAATTAATAAATAAAGGGTGGCTTTTGTCAAGGGCTTTTGACATCCCTACAGTTGAGAGTAGCTGGAGAAACGAGTGATGCTCGTTAACTCTGACCCAAATCATAAGAGACACTGGGAGCTGTTAAAACACAGAGCAGATTGAGGAGTCTGGGTGACCTAGATAGCATTGGTTTTGACAAGCAGCGTACATCACATTAAATCGCTCTTCCGTTTAATACAATAAGGCATATCTCCCTCGGTGGTAATGAAAATTACATTCTGATAAGGTTCTTTGTGACATGGAAAATACCTCTTCCATCGCCCACACTCTTAAGGCTCCTTTCTGAGATGCACTTATGGAGAGATTGTCCCTTTGCCTGGACCTGTGTGACATTATCTGCCTCATAAGCACACTTGAGGGGTGACACATGGTCTAGACAGCCATGCACAAGAAGAATGGGTGGTGATGAGGCAACCGCAGTCACCTGTTGTTCAAGGAAATGAAGTGTATCTTAACATCACATTTCATTTTGGAAAAATAGGAAGGGGTGAAGGACTTGTCTGCAGGAGGAGAAGGAGGCAGATACAGCTGCTGAGAGACAATTTCACAGATCAATTTGTTTTATACATACATTCATACACAAAGCTATGCATCTGTACGCTGAAAAAAATTCCCCCTGGAAGGTTTTCTGAACCCAAATAACAAAACATATTTTCTCACTTGCCTTTAGGGCCATCTAGCCCTATTTGAGACACCAGCACTCCGTACATTACTCCGAATTTATGCGGTGACAAGAATAGTATGTGAAAATATTGTATTTAAATGTTGATTTAGCTCTGGGGAAACATTTTATCATTCTGGACAGACAGTAGACACCTGTGGGATCACAAAAATACCTTAGACACAGCCCGCTTGTGGATTAATGGTACAATAGCATCATTTTGATTTTTCTCCTCCCGAACCACATACACATTTAGCGGGGAGGTCACAAATGGGGCTACTAACCATGCAGATAGTTTCAGTTTTCTGTTCCCAGGTTTTGTGACATCCCACTCTGAGACCTCTGAGATCTGTATTCAGAGACAGTGTCCCAGTTATTCTCGATAATCCACAATCCTCACTGTGAACAGCTTTGTTAGGGCCAATGTTTGATAGGCTACATTTCCAGTTTTAAAATGAAAATGTCATGTTTAAATTATATGGACAGGACAAATTACATTTCATTTACCTCTGTTATGTTATTGGGTGGACAGGGGGTGTATTTAAATTTAACACTGTTAAAAGAAATTGCGCTTATGCTGAGGATTAATGATGCCACTTAATGGGAAGAAACTAGAAGAAATTAGGAGAAAGAACTCTAGTTTCTGGTGAGTTCTGAGATCAGTCACAGTGTATGAGGGAAAAGACAGTAAGTACAAAAAACTGTAGTGGTTAAATTCGTTTAATGGAAAATGAAGTTCAGACTGACCACACCTTAAGAGAGCATATTGTCTTAACCTGGGCAAAACAAAAAAGAGGTCCAAAAAAAAGTAGGTAATCTGGGCGACCCTTTTACAAGCCGTGTCTTTAATTCTTACAACAGAAACAGATCAAGGGAGAGGAAAATTGTTGTTGTTGTTGAAAAAAGAATCAAAATAAAATGACTTCAAATACATTTAAAATGACACTCATCATGCTCACACTCTCACCACACACACTCACAATGTCACTTAATGTCAAACAGGATAATGTGTGCCCGGTGTTCGATGTGCTGCATCTCTTTTTCAGGCCAGGGTAGGCTGAAGGCCTTTCTCTAACAATGGCCCATCACCATGCCAACACAAGCGGTGCCAGCCTCGGTGCCAGCTTGGCACGGCCCCCATGTTAGCAGTGGATGATTCAAGGGCATTAAAACACAATGTGGGGGGTTCCAGTTTTTAGACGGCTGTGCCAGGATTTCCACCACAGTTTGCTTTGAAACAGCCTGTCATTCATCGCTCTCTGCTACTTCCCCTCCTCTCATGCTGTTGGCCTGAGCTGGAAGCATTTACAGTCCATCTTCTGAAAATTTGCTTTGCATGCACAGAAGCACCGGTCATGCTTTAATGTTCTATATTTACTCATAAGAAGTACATAAAACAAGAGCGTCAAATATTTCACCACAGGTCTCCTTCAAGGGTGGGTACTAAACAGCACGCATTTGCTGCACTCTCATTAAGGATTGATGATCCAGAAGAGAAAATAACATCTTTGTTGATTTGTTAAATTGGTGCCTGCCATTTTGTATGTTAAATTAATGCTGTAATGAGTGATCAAGGGGCATGTGTTTGTCATTTTAATTTTTAACTACCTCCAGCTTACTATTAACTGTCATCCCTGTCTTCTCCCCTTGTAGTGCTCGGAGCAAGTGACTGTGATGGGCTGTCGGACTGCATCTGAAGGGTTCTACCAAAGAATAATATCCACTCCTGACCTACTCTGAAAAACAATATTTGATTCAATCAGTGTTGCGGTCTCCCCTGGGGGGACTTACTCCCGTGTAATAGGTGGACCCTCAGAAAAGAGCAACAGTGGACCATGTGATACTTGACCTTCACAGAGAGAACTCAGGTACACTCTGGAAGATGTCAAATCTGATCTGAAGCTGTGCTCAAGAGGATCGCCCAGCTCATAATTCAATCATCTTTTCATGTATTGTTTAGCAAAACTCAAACACCATGGGCCACCAGTGACGGAGCATAATTATCAATGCTGGATCTTCATTTATTGAGGAGTAGCAGACATCTCATCATGGATTTGAATGAGATTTTCTCCACCAAAGAGCGACTGTAAGAGAGACTGGAGTGGGGAGAATTGGACACTGGGAGTTGGGAGGATTAGCTAGTGTGCTGCTAACCCATGGTGGATCTGCTGTGAGCAGGACAAGGGACTCAGCAGTGGAGGATGTCAGCGGAGGCCGAGCTCCAGCCGGGTGTCAAAACCAGCCAGCGAAGGGAGTCCAGGAGGATCAAAGGTACATGAGATTTTACTTACCAAACTATCCCATCTCTGCTACATTAATGCATTAGTACAACAATTCTGTAATGTAGATGCATTTACATTTTTTTGGGGCTCATAAAGTGTCTAATTTTGTGGATTGGGGTGAAAACCTGAAAATGATGTTGAGGGAAAACTACTCAAAAGGCGACCAGAAACATGTAAAAAAAAAAAAAAAAAATGGTTTGTCAGGACAAAATGGGAATCTGGCAGCTTTCTCATGTTTGGCATGCAGTGAACATAACCTTAACTCATGTTTGGATGGAGCTAAATAACGCTGGAGTACATGGAGAGAAGCTTTACTCAGTCAAGCCCGCTGAGAGGCTCCCTGTCTCATCCCAGATATCCCGATGCAGTAACAGCTATTTCATGTAGCCCCAGGGTTTGGTAGAGCCATGATTTAGGTGTCATGGACAGGGTAATTCACACCCTGTCGCTTTGATGAACAGCATAAGTGATGTAATAGGACGAGGCATTCTCCGAACGTTCACTGGGAGATTGAAATGGGATTGAATTGGCTGAGAGGACGAAAGAAGAGGGGATAGAGAGGTAGAAAGATTGAGATTCACAGTGAGGGAGAAGGAAGTGAGCAAGAAGAGGACGCTTTCTCATTTGCCCTCCCTCTCTTCATCCTTTTTTCCCTCATTGCTCCATCCATGAATAAAGCCACTCCAGCTAGTCCAGTAAATCTGGCTTCTGCGGGCTGGCTGTAACGAGGCCGCGGGGCCAGTTCCTCTGTGGCTGTTTCACTGGCCCTGTCGGCTTGCTCAGATAAATGGCCAGGCTGGAGGAGGGCCCATTGATTTGAGTTAAGTGGAGAGGGGAGAGCAGAATGAGGGGGCTATTACACACATGGCCATGCGGCTCATTGGATGGGACTATCAGATGGCTATCAGCCCCTGACTTTACCATGTTAATCACATGTGCTGCAGGGGCCATTATCACAATAAGCAAAGATGTTATTTAGATCCATATAAATGGAAATGGGGCAACATAAATGCATGCACACTGTCAGGCAGCACAGCTATTGGTGGTTGTGAGCAGACTGAGGCCAGGTGAAGGACTCCCCTGAGGATCAGGTTGATGAGATGAATTTAGACAAAGCACTGTTTATATTCATAGTGGTGGAAGATATTGGTGTAATTTAAAGGATAAGGTTGCTTTTGTTTTTATATTTTTTATCTTGTCAACAATCCCCAAAACTAGCCATGCGCAAAACTGTTTATTAAAAAGGTTTTAAGAACCAGATTTTAAGAGGTTTTTGGTGTTTTCCCTTTCCATTATTGTTTCATAAATGTTTTTTGCATGTAACAGGTTTGCAGAGTGGAAAAGCCCAAAGTCCACCCCAATGAATGTAACATGTATGGAAGTAAAACACTGCTCCTGAACTGCCTGAAAACAGCTTGATTGTGGTCCAGCCTTTATTTCCATAACCCATTCCAATCATAATGCTCATCTAGCGGCTAGTGTGGCACACCCTCAAAAACAATGGTGGAGAAATACACTGAGTTCCAGCACACACAATGACAAGATGTCCGCCCGCTGCCTCCCCTCACCCCCGCCCTCCCTACCTAACTTTAGATCCAGGCAGTCAATGAACATAAAGTTGTTATTGTGATGTAGAGTGCACAGTATGAACGATACGTTAGTTATAAATAAATAAGTTACCACTCTGAAACTCTTGCTCCAGTTTAGGTTGTGAAGCTGGTTCGGGAACATGTAGCTGAACCCAAAACTGTAGTTACTGGTTTGACAGGACCCGCCCTACTCTGTAGTCCTTAACTAGGTGCTGCGCATGTGCAACTCCCAACAATGATCAAGTACAAGTGAAATGCTTCCCTCGGTAGCTGTTTTTTTGGAAATGAAACCATGTAAATCTATTCTACAACCCCTAAATGAAATAATGAATCTGAAAATTTAATACATTCTGACTTCCCATCTTACTGTTCATCAAGATGTAAATCATTTTAAAAAGGGTCACAAATATAAAGTTTACATTTTTAAAGGGCTGAATCCTTTTCTAAAACAGAAGGGAGTAAATAGAGCAATATTTTCAGCAAAAGGATGCCGTAGGTGGGATTGCCTTTAAAAAATGCCAATAACAGCGTTTAACAGTGTTGGGCAAGTCATTTGAAAAGTGGAGTGGTGTCGACTGAAGTCACTTGAGACTCCATGAAATCTCTGGCCTGGCCAAGAAATATTTCCAGCGTGTACTCCCAAGGTTCATTTGTGTAAGAGTTAATATGTTAACTTTGGTGGTGCTGTTTCAACAAGACCAGGCTAGCTAGCCTTCCCCCTGCTTACAGTCTTTATGCTAAACTAAGCTAACCGCTTCCAGGCTTTAGCTTTATATTGTTAACGCACAAATTTAAGGCAGTTTTTTCACTTAACACTAGCCAAGGAAACAAATAAGTAACCCCCCCCCCCCAAAGACACACACACACAAAAAAAGTATTTAACGTGTGTAGAAATAGAAAATGACACTTTGTCATTAAAGAAACGACAAACCTAACATTACATCTTTCAAGTAATTGTTAACCATCAACAGCTAGCTTAGCTCGCATCGCCTGGTATTCACAGTAAAGACACCTCCTCGCACCTCCAGCCCCTGAGCCAAGCTCCCTTCCCATAAACTGTCAAAGTAACAAAGTATTACTGGGATAAGTAACTGCTATGTTATTATTACATTTTAAACTTGAATCCCCTGGTACTGGAAAATATAATCACATTATTGTAATATGTTACTCAATCATTGTCATTGCCCAAATCTGGGGTTTGATGGCTGCACAGACTTTTAGCAGAATAAATGAATTGTTAGATTTGGTCCCATTTTATGGGATTTGTTAATGAAAAAACTAGAAAAATCAAACCTTGTAGCAAACTCTGACTGCCATGGTAAAGCAAAAGCTCCCCTCTATCCATCAACAGAATTGCTTTACATGCGTGACTTTACTCGATCTCCATAGCAACTGTTGCTCTCCCACTGTAATCTGTGCACAAAAAAAATAATCATTTCAAAAAGAGAGACTAGGAATGGAGGACAGAGAGACATTGAGAGAGGGGGGGAGCAGGACGGAGATGCAGGAAACAGACATAGAAAGAGGCAGAGAGGCAAACAGCAGATTAAATCACCAGTCACCTCTCATACTGAATGTATGACATTGAAAATATTGTAAGAGGCAGTTCAAATATTAACCATTTCACCCTATTCAAACAGTATTTCCCACATTTGACCAAATCATTTGCTGGTGCACTTATCCAACTGTTCATCACACTGTGGAGCCCCTACCTAACAAATGATCTCGCCCATCACCACCCAGCACACGTCAATACTTGCATGTAACTCTGCAGTGATTCAATGGTCCACCCGCTGCATTGATGATGTGCACAATACCCCTCATTAATTCAGTCATTAAACCAAAACCTTGAATTTGAGTTTAATGCCAAAGATCAGGTAGAGGAATTTTGACATCGGTGTAGGTTGGACGAGGGAACGCATGCTGATGTTTGTAAATGTATCTGTGTGTTTGATGAGGCTTATAAAAGTTATTTTGTGCACATGGGGGAGGCAGGTGGCGAGGACAGATTTGCCTTTCTCAGACTTCCATTCACTTTGCTGCTGGATAAAGTCATCAGCCCTCTGCGCTGACGGGACGTACCTAGTGTTCTCCCTTCAAATGTCCTGTGCATAGACGCACAAAATAATGGTTAACATTGTCCATTGCATGGGGGTGCACGCATGACTCAGCCGGCATTGCCATATACTCTCATTATAGTTCAATGGAACGGTGAGTTTGGTTTCCTAGCTGAGAGGAACGTTGACAGGAAGAGACAGGCAGACACAGATACACACTCAGAAAGGTTCAAAGGTTAAGCTGCCTCGATGCCCGGATCCCCAACAAAAAGTTTCTTGTTGCCAAGTCCTTATATCTGGAGGCACACTTCTGACTCTCCATCTGTTGCCATCTGTCCCTTCACTGTCCCCATTCTAGTGTGGCAAGGAGGAGGATGCAACTCTGTGATCAGAGAGTAGCCCTGAAACAGTATGGAGCCGGGCTAACAGTAATTGTTCTCTACATGGTTCTGGTGCAGGGCCTTTGTGTCAGGTGGCTGTTAAATCTCATCTCCATTTTTAATGATTTGTGCATTAGATTGTTAGTAAATGAGGGCAACAGGAAATATTAGGGAGAAAGAGATGTGACAAAGGTCCCAGGCTGTATTCTAACCCAGGATGCATGCGTTTCAGACCACCAGGACTCCCAAATGGCTGGCATGTTTTCCCATGTGTAGGATACACTTAGATGCAGACTAGCAGTAGACAATGCTTTAGGCAGCCCTCTGTCAGACACATTATGAGCATCAGGATTGTGGGCCAGAAATATTGTGAGGACCATTCAACCTTGGGTAATTGTAAATCCAGAAAGCCAGAGGAATATGTGTCACACACCTTCTCCAGCTCTCTTTTCCTTTCTTACAGTGTGTAACAACATGAAACAGCATGCCCCGCAGCTCTTTAGTTTTCAAATACAGCGCACTCGCTAGTCTTGATCTGAACCCAGAGCACGTAGCGTACGAGTTATGCCACTGTGTCAAGACTCTCATTCGGTATGCAAGGCCTACTTTTTTTGAGGATGTGTGCATAAACCTCTAAATCTCTCCTGAAGTGTTATTAGGGAAAACGGCATGCTGTATATAAAGAAACAAACGGCACAGAACATCTGGTTAAAGCTCATCTGAGAAAGCTGCACTGAATTGGGCTGATCGTGTTAAAATGCAACTGGAGCAGCATGCATTTTACATTACATTACAGAGTGTATGAGTCAGTAAAATCAGGATGGAATACATAATACTGTATGAATAGACTACATTCACCATATGAGGCATGGTTTTAATCAGGTACAGCAATAATTATTGTAGGAGTCCACCCTCTCTTGCATCTGTACTGCAGGGTTTAACCAACTGCACATAGATAGTAATGTCTACAGTCTTTTTTAGTGAATTTGCCATCAAAGTTGGAATGTCAGTTCTCTACATGGCTGCTGTGTGCATGCCAGGCTGTGTCTGGTTAATGTTCAGAGGTACTGTACTGCTGTATATAAGACTCATTATCCTCTGGCAAAGGAACATGTCTGAATTAGACCCAGATTTGACATTCACTTGCATAGAGACTTTAATGACTTTAGCATCGTCAAGCCCTCCCCTCCCCCTTTAGAGAATTGTGCCCTCATGAATTAGTGAGAGGGTGTGCATGGCCAAGACAAGTGCTTGCATTTGAACTAAGAGAATTTTTTTCTCTGTTTCCTCAAGCCATTTCATTTGCTTTTTTTTTTTAGGCTAAATTTCAAATTTGTCTTTTGGATTTTTCCTTGAACATTGCTGGGATAGAAGACGAAATTCCATTTTTGTTAGAGTAGATGTAGAATGGATGGCAATACTGTGTGTTTCTTGGTGGAATTCTGTAATTTTGGTGTAATATGGTCTTTAAGTGCAGCCTGACATTCTTTGTTAGGGTTTTTAAATCTTGTCCTCTTCTCGCACATGGCTTAGCCAGCTACTGAAATGTGTCGTTAACTGATGTACGGTGACCTAGAATTGAGTGAGCAAGGAGCCTGGAAACTGTTAAATTCTCAAAGGTGCCAGTGACCTTGATTTTGAAATCCTGCTATCTCTTCGTGTAAATGTGTTGGGAGTCAGTGTTTTGCGCCTGACAAACCCCGCACAGGTTATAAGGGGATGGTTTATACATTGCTCGAGGCTCGCGCCATCATAATCAAAACAGTACGATGGCAGACAGCGCAGAGACTAAATGAGAAAGGTGTTGGTGTCAAGGTGGTGTCAGGACAACTGCAGAGATTGACAGACAGAATAATCAGCAACAGGGATGGGAAGAAGAAGGGAGGGGATGACATTATAAAGCCCGAGGCCATTCAAACACACATTTGCAAATGCCCCTGTCTCAAACCATCCCACTACCCAACATCCATCACCCAGGGAGGGCCTGGTGGATTGTGGGTGAGCGCTGGACCGAGATGATTCCCCTCAATAGCAGCGACCCAAGCCTGGTTTGTCACCACCAATAGCACCCATGGGAACTGTGAGCGTGGGTGAGGCGTAGGGGTAACAACCCCCACTCAGCCACCCCATAACCGTCCACCCAAGCTTTCTGTGTGCAATAATAGGTGATGGTAAAGGGTACTCAATGTTCTAGTTGTTTTCTCATTTAGTCCACTAGCTTTATACAGCCTCCTTTTCAATTTCAAGTAAAATTTTCTTTCAATCTTTGCTCACTGTTGCTAATTTGCTATTTCATTCTGCATTTCCTATTCCATAAATATTTATACGGAAGCAGCTATCTCACTCACACACACCTACACATTCACACACACACACACACACACACACACACACACAGACGCCTCTATACCTCAAGTAGGACATGATGCCGAAGTGGTAGGACTCAGTTGAGCTCATATCCTTGTTTCCTGTGATCACTCGCATTCATTTTCTCCTCCTTATTTCTTGTCCTATTCCTTTTTTTCTCTTTCTCTCCCGCTGCAGGTCAGGACCGCACTGAGGCGGGGCTTATTAAGCGTTTCCGTGGAGATGGCGTGCGCTACAAGGCCAAGCTGATTGGGATTGATGATGTGACAGCGGCACGTGGGGACAAACTGTGCCAGGACTCCATGATGAAGCTGAAGGTGCAGACTTGTGTGTGTGTGTGTGTGTGTGTGTGTGTCTGTGTGTGTGTGTCTGTGTGTCTGTGTGTCTGTGTGTGTCTGTGGGGACATCATTGAGCCTCTTTGCTCATCTCAGTCAGATTTGGAAAAGGCATGCTCTGGCATGCCTGTATTGTCTGTTGAATGACTCATGGGAGCTGTCTTGTCCTGTGTATGACTCACTGGAACTCTGTAAAGAACTGACCAGACGGAACAAATAAAAGTCCAACTGTATTATTCCGCAGCTCTCTGTCATGTAGATAAAGCTACTATAAGTTTGGTTTTATATCTTTTGCAAAATGGTTGCAATTTGTACTTTATTTTCCTTCTAATAGGCTGCTGTATTTTTTGGCATTGTGCAAAGCTTTATGCATTTATTACAACAGTTTTTTTGACCTTGGAGGTAAACTGGCTTCCTATTCTGAGAACCTTAAAGCAGAATGTGACTTAAGTAGGAATTTGTCTCTTTCCCCCAGTTTGTCTGCCTCTTGTATGTCTTCTCATGTCAGTCACAGCCTTCTATTTTTCCAACAAAGTCCATGATGTTATACTTGTAGCACATATGCAAACTGTGATAATGTGACCCAGATAATATTTTAGCCAGTGTTCTTTACAAGTAAATTAGGTCATATTCAGCCCTGCGGTAAGTGAGAAAGTCGTAAAAATGTCTGAATACTAGTGATTGTGGATGAAAGGCTTGAGCTTTCTTGAACTTATTTTGAAGTATGTGTACTAAAATGTACTGTAAATTCTCTGTTCCCCAAGCTCCACTTACTGTTGCTACGCCTGTCAAACTTTCCGTTCTCGCACATGTGCAGTTTACAATGGTTACAGTCGTAGTTTTACTACTTGAAAGTCTGAGTAATTTTCAAAACAATGGCTCCTTGAAATGAGACAGAGGCCGTCAAAAGCAGGCCATCCATTCAAACTTTTTTTACTCTGTTTTCCCATGATAACGGGATGATTTTCTCATGATCTCGAGATAACAAAACAGTAGTTCAACACAGAGGTTTAATGGTAATTTCACTTTGAGCATCAGTGTCACTGGTTAGCTCAGATGGTAGAACACAGGACTCATACACTAGGAGCTGTGGGTTAGATCCTCCCGGAAGACCAACCTTTTTTAACTTTTTCATAATCCTCTTCAACAAAGTTCTTATGAAGAGACGGGTGATTTGTCCACATCCATCAACCGATGGACTTTTTATTACCCCATCATTCCCAGGCAGAGGAAATTCCTGTGCTTCTCATTCAGGGAAATCCATTTAACGTATACTCATTGAAATGCTCCCACAGCGCTTTAGAATGTTTTTTCCTCCCGTGGTGTTCGCTAGTCGCTGTATTACAACTACAAAGACCAACATGCAGCTGTCATGTTATTGTCGCGAGTCTCTTTCGGATTGTACCACAGAACTAAAACGGATTTATTCTTCAGCTGTGCGAAAGTGCAACCTTAGCGACTCTTGACAGAAACAGAGCTTAGGGCTTGGTTAAAACCATAGACTGTATATAAGAAATGGACATAGTCATCGTGACATCACCCGTTGGTCTGTGGACTGGCGTTTTGAAGCCTCGAGTTTGGCCGATAGGGCCCCGCCATGTCAAGTTTTTGCAACCAGGAAGTGCCCGGAAGTGACGATACGGCCGTGTGCAGAGCTAGCTAGCTTGCTTAGCTAGGTGCAACGTTAACTGTCATTTTAACAGGGCTGATAACTTTGTCTAGCGGACAACAGTCTTAAAACTAAATGTACTCACCAGAGAAAGTGAACAGCCAACTCCTAATAAGCCTTTTCAACGGCGCTGGTTAAATTTACACAGTGCCGAGGGTACAAGTCGGCTCTAGCCCGATTGACAGGTCGCTATGGTAACGACTTGTCAATCATAGATAATGAAACATACTCTGCTTTTTGGTCTATTTTAAAATAAATGGGACCATAATTTATTAAATGAACATCATTTTGTATTGAAGAAGACTTGAAACTAGCAACTGAGACTATAAGCTCATCAGGAAAGTGTTTACTGGGGTAATTATTCAGCTGAGAAGTAGGGTCATTTTCCCATTATTTCTAATGGAAATGCCGGATTTAGAATGGAATAGAATGTAGGTTTCAGGGACTTCTGCATTCGCTTTATATTGTAGACTGGAAGCTTCCCGCTTGGTTAAAACCAGTCGCTACCAACTTATTTGAAGCCTACTTTCGCTACTTAATGAATGAGCGCAGCTACTAAAATTTCACAAATTAAAAAGAAAGGAGAGTGGTGACCACAGAATAGCTGAGGTTAGTAACGTTAAAGCAAATTAGGGATGCAAACTAGTCCTTTTAAGCTAATGAGGAAACTATTCTTTTGGATTTTGATGTACAAATGTAATGCTTGTAATTATACAGAAGGGAGGTGGTTCTCATGTTGCCTATTTTTATGTTAATTTCTACAAATGTATAAAGCAGTAAATTAAGACACAAAAGACAAACATGAGCAGTCCTATCTGTATTCTGAGGTCATATTAACAATGTTTTCCTGCTATTAAGGTGGTGAGGCTCCAAACAGCTTGGTGCTGCGCCATGAATGTAAAATCACTGTGGAGAGAATCAAAACTAATTACATGAATTTTCCCAGATCTAATGGTTATTATTCAAACCCAGTAGACTGATTTAGCAAGTTTAGCTTTTGGGTGTAGTTTATTCAAAATCTGCTCTTGATTTTCCTACTTATTATTCCCTGATGTGGTAATAACAAGGTTCCAAAATTATGTGGAGTTGCAGATTTCTTTATTGGAAAGCATAAAACTTTTCTTGGGGGATGACCACCAAAACTCCAACACAAAAATACCATCTTAATGTTTCATCTTAATGTTACCATCTTAATTTTTTACATTATACCGCCCTGTGAAAGCCTGTTTTAATCCTCATGGACATCATTTCTATAATTATTTGTAAATGTACCTGCTTTGCACCTGCCTTGACTTCTGCCTGCACTCACTCACACACAAACCTTTACCTCTGGTCTCTCACTGCAAACACTCTGGCTTTCCCCGCCCCTCTCTGTCTCCCTGACTGCTCCCCTGAGTTTTTCCATCAGCAGCAGGTTATGTTTTATAAAGTCACCGAAAAGACACTGGATATTTCTGGATATTTCCAACCGTGATCCTTTTTTCATGGCAGCAGGTGCACCGCATGCCGGGTTGTTAATTACGTAGCCTATCAATGTCATCGTCCATCCTGGTGTTTCATTGTTGACATTGTCCAATGCCATTTTTGTAGACATTACTCAACCCTAATTTGAATACATTTATTTACTCTGCAAGTAATTTTGTGACTGCATTTTCAGTTGTATGTTTCTTTTTTTGATGTCGTGATATAGGTCTTAAATTTCATTCAAAAAGGTCTTTAAAAGTCTTAAATTAGACTAGGTGAAACGTGCAGAAACCCATTGGATTACAAGTCCTGTGCTCTACCAACTGAGCTAACCAGTCACACTGTAAAGTACTCTGAAATTATCCTAAAGAAACATACTGGCCGACCCCTGTATTCAGCTATGGTTTGTTGTCTCGAGATCACAAGAAAATTATCCCGTTATCATGGGAAAACAACATTAGTCATTATCTCGAGATCATGAGATCACGGGAAAATGGAGTAAAATAAATATTTCAGTGGATGGCTGCTTAGGGCTTCCGTATTTCTCATTTCTAGCTACAGCCATCAATTTTTACTGCTGAAATGATGACTAACAGCAACGTAAAACTAGTTGCTCCTTATATTATAAATACGATAGGGAAAATGTAAGATAACCTTGATTTGCTGCTTAGCTTATATACTTAGACATGCAAGATATATGCTTGATTGTTCTTACTTTCTGACTGAGGTTAATGGAGGGTTAACCCAATAGAGCAGGACAGAGGCACTATCATTAGCCTACGCTGATGTTTTAGCATCCTGGATCCGTGGGTAAATACTAAACAGCGGATGTGCTAGCCATGAACCACGCATTTTTTTAACATAACTTGTAAGCCTACAAAATAATGTAGTTTGACATGCGCCAGACCTTGAAAGTAACGCTGAGTTAGGCAACTATTAAGCAAATTAAGCAATTCCTTACACATAAGAGGGAAAAACTTAAACATATCTTAAACCATCAACCACAATGCCGTGTATTACTATTCACGGAGCCCCATGCACACCGCTTCAACATGTGAGAAATGCTGAACATGCTGAACAATGCTGCTTGGATTTAGCTAATGGCCAATCATTAATATAAATTACATAATACTCTGAAATAGCATGCTTCCGCTTCTCAAGAGTTTATTCTGTATCCTCTTAAATGTCAGCTGTGTTTACTTGTTCCAAAGAAAAAGGCAGGAAAAATCACTCTCTATGTTGGGGAAAAAAGCAAGCTTTGCAGTAGGTTGCTACGGGATAAATCCTTCTCGAAAAGAGGACGTATATGCATGGCTTTTTAAGTATCTTCTCACAGACTTTGCTGGAGCTTAAATGTGTGGGAAGCCCCACAAGAAAAGCAGTATAGCCAGAAGGCAAAGCCTCTCATCACCCATATCCATTCCAAGTGATATGTACAATAAAACAACTTTTTCCCTGCCTCGATCTGACATTTCAGCAGGGCCCTCCATATGAATCCAGTAGTCACCAGCCAGTTACAGTCAATAGACTAGTCAATACAGACCTGCTATTATCTGGACAGGGGATAGAGGAGGGGACGGGGTCTCTATTGAGCTGCCTCTCGCTACCTTGAGGACTAATCCACCAAATGGAGAAGCCGATGGCTGATTGACAACATCCGTTGGCTGTTCCACCAGCCCGCCTTTCTCACTTACTTCTTCTCTTCCTTATCCCTGTTGCTTGTTCTTCTCTTTATCCTGCTCTCTGTACCCTCATTATACTCACTGTATCTCTTCAGCCCATCCTTTTCTCATGTGAATATACATTTATGGATGTAATGAACATTTACATCTCCCTGCAGAGGCAGAGCTTGTTGGTGATATAGAAACCCCTGGTTTGGGTTTTAAATATTAGCTAAGCTTTTAAAGAAAAAATGTGAGGCGGAAGATAGCTGATGTACAGAAGAGGTGGACCACTCATCAGCATTACTGGGCCTGCAATTTTGTCAGACGTATTCAGCACAGCAGGCAGGTTTTTCTTCTCGTCCTTTCTCCTTTTCTCTTTTCCCTTCTTCTCTCTTCTCTTCTCTTGCAGGCTTTGTTCTATGAAAGACATGTCAAGCACACAGGTCGCATCAAATGGAACACGGTGGAAATGTTAATTGTTTTCTTTATTAGAGATGAGAATATGAGAAAAAGGGAGCTGTTGAGATCCATGGGAAACAATTACTTCAAAGGCTGGATTGGTTGTTCAGTCAGCACTATGTGAAGTAGTCGGAGCAAGCTGGTCGGTCAGCAGCGCGATTCATTCTGTCAGCAGATCTCACCTTATTGTTGTTAGCTAGCACTTGTGTATAACACATTGAAGTGCAGTAGACCTACTTTAAGAAAAGGGAGAGAAAAAAGGTGCTTGGGAAAAACAGGCTGCAATAATAAGACTTGCTGCACAAGGCGACGTGTGAATTCCTCTGAGAGTGAAGCTTCAAGAAAAGGCACATGAAAGAACATTCTGTCCTATCACACCTTATGTAACTCTTGTCACCCTACCTTCCAATCTAACCCCCTCCCAATCTATCCCTCCATCTCTTACTGTCACACTCACCTGAGTCAGAAAAGAAGAAGCCTCACCGTCTTTCATGCTGAGCTCATATCCTTTCATCTCCTCATTTCGTTTCCATTCATCTCCTTCAGGGAATGGCTTCTTCGGCACGTTCCAAAGGGGAGCACAAGCAAAGGGTCTTCTTGACGATCTCTTTCGGCGGGATCAAGATTTACTGCGAAAGATCGGGGGTGAGTAGCATGTCAGCGAGTGGGCCTATGGCAGAGATGCACTGGGAGGCCTCTGCCAGCTGCTGCACTGTGAACCTACAGTATAGGACATCCAGAGGGCAGACGCTCGCACGGTTCAGTTCACAGCGGCTGCCAGGGTTGCCATCTTGTAAGCCTGGCTGGCACGGTTGACATATTAGTAAAACTGTAATACCTGCACAGAAGGAAGATGATTCACAAGGTTGTGCTGAAATAAAATGTGTCATTTTCAACACTAGATTTGCAATTCTTCTCCAAATATCACGAAATATAAGCAATAATATGCCTTTCTCAGGACAGTTTGCCCTTTAGCTAAACAAAATTTAACTTGACAGCATTAAATTACAATCTTGCTTTTGAAATTTGACCCTGGATAAACTGGTTTAACACATACCCTAATAAGATTAGTGATATGCTGCAGGACCCACTGAAGATCACTCAGGCCTTGTCTGCTTGCTAATGATAGCGCAGTGAGCAATGTTATGGTGATGTTATGAGACGGGCTGCTTCCGCCTCCATCCTGGCTTTCATCCCCTGGCGGACTCAGAGGCCTGCTGTTCCATTACAGGATGATCGAGAGGCTCAGCTCTCCCCCGTCCTGCGGCGTAGTGTTGGCTAGATAGGCCCACTCTGCTCATCAGTGCTAACCGATAATTAGCACTCAGTTCCACCCCTTAATGATCATTGCCGCTAATGCTAATTACACCACGGCTCCACCTCAGCTGTCGTTAGCGCTAAACTGATAATTATGCAACAGCGTTTGTCCCGTGGCTGCCGACCCCCACCCCACCACCAACCGTCTATTTCCCCAAAAAACACCCATCTTTTATAATATCTCTTTTTAATATGACTGGTGGTGATAGTGGCGCGTCAGTGGCCTGTAATGAAAAAGAATATTAAGCCTTCTGCCACTACCAACCAGCTCACCAGCTTCTGACAAGCTCATTTGTTGTTTTGGAAATCATGCCCCCTAATGCTCTTCATTTTATTTACTGATTACTACCAGTAAATAACACTCTACATTTAATATCCCTCTTGAATTATTGTGGTGGAAATGGGGATCACTCCAGCGCAAGCTGTGTTAGATGGAAATACTTTATGTAAAGCTGACATGATTCTCTGCTGAATCGAGTAGACTAGTCATATTAGTTTTGTATTTTACATTAATCTGAGGCGCTACTAGCGTCGCTCCCCACTGTACATCAGCTAATATTCCAATGAAATCTCCTCCCCAGTGCCTGAGCTTATCTCCGCTAATAGTGGAGCGGCAGGTGGGTGTGCCTGAGTGACAGCTGAATTACTCTCAGTGTGTACAGTGTATGTATGGGTGTGTGTTGATATTTTGAGTGTTTCAGAGCTGCCCATTAGGCAGAAATGTTGTGAAAACATCACACAGTAGATTTTGAAAGTGGAATTGTCTCCTGAATTTGGTGTTTCTTAATCACCAAATTCACAGCGTCTCAAATCCTGCTGATATCAAAGCTGAGATGTCTGCTTCCCAAGCAATAGCACAAAACAAACATCAAGCTACTAGATTCCAAGTCCCATAGTAACTATAGTATCTATAGTAGTACTGGTAAATAGAGAACCGCCCTGAATCTCTCCTTCTGCTGTCAGAGACTTTTAGGCTCACTCTGTGTTGGTTGGTTGCGTTTGGCTCAACAATATGCAAAGATGTTTAATGTAGGTTTGACCTACTTTTCCTGCCAACACAGTGTATAGTACTTATACTTGTGAAACAGTGTTTTAAAAAGGCATACTTTCAAATGAAACATGATATGTTTTTTACGTACAGAAGATGGTGTGATTACCCAAATTTAACATTGTCTTTCCTGTAACACGTAACATCCCTGCCATGTACGTAGGTGCTCCTGCATCACCACTCAGTCCACGAGATTAGCTACATCGCCAAGGACACCAGGGACCATAGGGCCTTTGGCTATGTCTGTGGGAAGGAGGGCCACCACAGGTTTGTGGCCATCAAGACCGCACAGTCGGTAAGTGCTTTTCTACTCGGCTAGCTGTTCAGTCCAACTCAAGTCTCAAGTATTTTATAGAAGTTCCAAACCAAGTCACACGACTAGACAAAATATTTGAATTGAACTAAGGTATTTTTACATTTCTAAAGGATGTCCATTAAAATGGCATAATATTTTAACATTTTCCCTTTAAAGCTGTGTTAAAGTAATGTGTTTTTACTTTGCTGAGACCAAGTGCATGCAATGCCTACCAATAGGCCTACCAATTACATATTCAAGCTCTGTGGCTTTATAACGCATTCCTGGCAGACACATATTTTGATTAAAATTTCAAGTCTACGGGGAGTCAAGTCCTCATTTTATCAGGTTAGACTGAACCCTAAGCCTCAAGTGTGAAGTCAACAAATGTGCACTCTTTTGTTCAATCACAAATCTTCATCTACAGCTCAGGAGCTCCGGGGGAGAATTGTGGAAGACACAAACAATGGTTTAACTAGTATGGAATGAGAATGTGCTGTGATGTGTAAAGCCACCATAGCTGTTCTAACCTATGAAGCAAGCCAATGCCAATGTTAGCACTCAGCTACTGTTCTAACGCTGTTTTGTACTACATTACTTTCAGGTCAGTAAAGTAAATAAGCAGATACTGACCTTAATTTTTTGTTTGAATTTTTGATTGAGCGTATATTATTATCATCACTCTCTGCTGTGCTGGGATTTGTGTTACCTCGCAGGGAGTGACCAGTCAGATGGCATCCACACATCCTACATTCATATAATGCATTCTGCATGAGTTGGTTGACTAAAATGAAATGTGAAAATATTAATAAATACATAAATAAAATAAAAAATACCAGAAAGAAATACATAAAATGCAAAAAGGTCCCTCCTCACAACATTAATATGTTCATTAAATTTTTTATAAATGTCATTCCTGAAGATTTTAAGATATTTTTAGTTTTCCTGCACTGCTTTACTTCTTCCACATCTTGGCCTTGCCTACACATGTTCATCTTCCACTGCTCTTCACTGACCTGGATTGCTATACTCCTCCCCTTCTTTCTCTGAATCTCTTTTTTTTCTTTGTCCATTCCCTTCCCTTCCCTATTTCCCTCTCCTTGATTCCATTTCTTAAATTTCCACAACCTCTTCTTCCTCTTCCTTCTCTCACCGCTTCTCACATCCAGGCGGAGCCTCTCATCATTGACCTGCGCGACCTCTTCACGCTTATTTACGATATTAAACAGCGGGAGGAGATTGAGAAGAAGGCCCAGAAGGACAAACAGTGTGAGCAGGCAGTCTACCAGGTAGGACAGTCAGAGAACATTTCTGCTTTTTTCATCAGTTTCATTTTCCATTCGGAGGCGCGATCACACATTATAACTCAGAAAAAAATTAATTCACACAACAGAAATCTTAAGACTTTTAAGCTTCCTCTGAAGTACATTGCAGACTGTGTTTGTTTGCATCATTGATTTCTATGTTGAATATCTACATTTAATGGAAATGCAACAGGTTTTTTTTCTGAAGTCAGGTTTGTGTGACAGGAAATGTACGTTTTGGTGTATCTGTGATATACGAAATCACTGTTTCATTAAAACCCAACACACTGTCAGCCTGTAATTATGCTTGCTTGCAGGAAATGACAGACTAAGTTGTTTTCTGTCCTTCCTCCATTTATTTTCTAATGAGATGCTAAATTTGGCTGCACTGTCTCACTGCTGAAAAACAAAATGTGTCATCTGCCTTCTGTCCCACCACTGTACAGACCATCCTGGAGGACGAAGTGGACGATCCAGTTTACCAGGTAGGTCTGTAGGCACACAGAGCAGGAACCAAATACTGCTGATTTTGATGCTTTTCTAGCTTCACTGGTGCTTTTTTCAGTCTTAAAGCTTGGAATAAAAAACATTTAATCCTTAATTTAAATATCTCCTCCAGTCGCTTATCTGCTTGAATTAATGATTCATGATATTCCGCCATTCCAGTAATACACAGTAGACCATCCTAGTGGACAGTTTTGTTCAACCATTCAACTCCCATTTGCCAGTGCAATGTTGTAAAACCATATTTTTTAAGTTGATCTGTGTCAATGTTCTGATTTCTTCCAAAGACATGCCCCACTGACTGATTGTTACCCCCACCCCCACCCCCCACCCCTTTTTGCCCTGTGCATTTATTTGGCTGAACATGACTTTGTTTCACTGTGTTTGCTCACACTGAATACAGACAACACTAACTCTTACTCTGAATGCTATGTTCAGTGGTACGTCAAACCACCTCCCAGATCACCTCTGTTCTTTGCTCTTGAAGTGTGTTTTGCATAAAATCATTCCATTTTCAGCTTTCGATTATGTTGATGTTGGTTGACAAAACTCCAGATTGTGGCCCGAATCTTAAAGGAGTACTTTGACATTTTGGAAATTACCTTTATCTGCTTTCTTGCTGAGAAGATCAATACCACTCTCATGTTTGTGCAATAAATATGTAGATGGAGCCAGTAGCCAGTTAGCGTAGCTTACCATAAAGACTGGAAACAGGGGGGAACAGCTAGCTTGGTTCTTTCCAAAGGTAAAATAATCCACCAGCACCTGTAAAGCTCACTAATACTAATATGTTATATTTAGTTTATTTAATCTGAGCTGCTGTGTTAGTTTTGGCAAAAGTATGTTATTTTTTGTCTTATTTTAGTCAACAAAAACAAAATATATTTTAGTCTAGTTTTCGTCTCATTTTTGTTTTTGAGGCTGCAGCTGTCGCAGTTTGCACACAAACACACACATGGTGTCCAGGTGAGTCTGCTATGCAGATGGACTCTCAGTAAATCCAGTTTTCATTTCCAAATTCTGGCTGTTTGAACAGAACGGCTCACTCACAGTTGTTCTGCTCGCCTAGATTTAGCATTACTGCAGCTACTGTACCTGTGTTCTCGACAGAAGAACAGCTGATCAGAAGCCGATTCATTCAGTTGTTCATTAAAGTACTGTTTATTATCTGTAATCCTCAGTGGATTGTAGAAGTTAATCCATCCATCTGTTTCTTCCAAGAGCTGGTAACATCAGATAACATTACCGATAGAGACACAGGATAACTAAATGTATTATGTTTCTTATTAAGGGCAGTGCAACAGGTCAAACAGCTCAACTTCTGAACAAGAGATATTTTCGGGCAATACTATTTTACTTATGAGAAGCAAGGCTACAAGGTGTGTGAGTCTGCAGATGAATTCAGGTTGTTGAGCAAAACTTTGCAGTGGACTTTGAAACTAATTAGTTCATTTGTTGTCATAATTTAGTCTTTTTTTCGCTGAAGAAACATTTGTCATGGTTCTCCTTTGTAATGTTTACTTTTTATTGAGTTTTGTCTTCTTTTTGTGGTGGAGAATAGGCTGCCAATGTTTCTGTCATAGTTTTTTTGGCCAAAATTAACATGGCCGAGGTGGTAGACGAATGTTGTTGTAATTAGACAGAGCCAGGCGAGCTGTTTTCCCCTATTTCCAGTCTTAATCGTAAGCTAAGATAACCGGCTGCTGGCTCCAGCTATATATTTACCATACAGATATGAGAAAGGTATTGATCTTCTCGTCTTACTCTCAGCAAAAAAGTTGATAAATATTTGCCAAAATGTCAAACTACTACTTTGAGATTGATTTGAGATCCACAAAGGCATTTATTAACGTCAACCTTAAGAGGAGATGCTGACCAATTTGAGGACTTTTGAGACTTCACTCATGGATCTCAAGCAAATACTCTGACCTCCGGGTCTGTTTTCTTTCAAAGAGGTGGAGCATCACATTGCTGATGTAGAAGAGAGACCTCTAGCTAAGACCTCCACATTGCCTTGAACTACTGCCTGACCTATTGTACTTGTGCTCTTTCCTCTTCCCACCTCACACTTTTTTCTTTCTCTCTTCACCTCCCCCATTCCTCTTTCCCATGCCCCATTTTTTTTTACACCCTTAATATTCTTGATCTCATTTCACTCCCCACTCGACGCCATCCTCGCGCCCCTGTGCTTTCATTTATTCTTGTCATGTCTCACTTCCTTGTTGTATCTCTCTATTTTATATGCCAACCTTTCTCTCTGTCTTCCCATCTCATTATTCTCTGCACCTCTACGTCTTGCCCACTACTTCTGTTCTATAGTACATAGTGTTTGAGGCTGGACACGAACCCCTCCGTGGCCCCCAGTCAGAGGAGAGCGTTTATCAGGTACAAAGACAAGCACTGCCCCCTTTTTTCTCCCTCTTCATACTCTGTGATAGATTATAATAGTAACAGTATTAACAACATGCCTTTGTAGCACCTTTCTTAAAAGAGTTACCAAGCAGATTTTTGGGGGGGAAAGGATTTTCTGGGGATTCAGAAGTAGATCAAGCTAAGGTTTCTGTTTTAATGTGGCAATCAGGAAAGAACCAAATGAAGCTGTGAAACCCAATAAAAAGATTTAGATTTCATGCTAAAGTTATAATCTGTAAAATTTAAGTGGTTTAAGTGTTTAGTGGTTTGGCAAAACCCATAGAAAACACTTGAGAAGCTACTTTGTCAGACATACAACAGAGCAACTGGTGCATCTATTTACAGTGCAACCAGACAAACTCACATTGTTTCAATAAAGAAGTCAGTCAATAAGTGCAACCGCAAGTAGTTGTCCACACAGCAGCAGGACTCTGTTAAGTTGGTTACCTTGCTGAGGAGTTGGAGGTGTGCAGCCTGTCACCGGAAACTCTTCATCTAACAGCTCACTCTGGCTGTTCCACATTTTTAATGAACAATCACAGTCAGCATTAACCTCAGTGACAAACACATTGCATTTCCCGTGGCCTCTTTACAATAAAAGCCACCAAGTGTTTCACCAGATGAACGCTTTTCAGGTGAGGCAATAACAGTTGGCATTAGTAGTAATTTACCGTAAAACTTGGATTAATAGCCCGGGCTTTTTAAAATGACTTAATTAACCCTGCCTATATTTGGGACAGGCGTCCATATGGGACAGGCCTTTAATTCCTCTCAAACAAAACTGAAATAGGCTACTATGAAACAGTTTATTTTTTTCAAACAGAATATTACTTAAATAATATTAAATACACATACAAATAGTCATTAATTTGATCTACCGACAGACGACTTATGCGCTTTTATTTTGTTGGCAGCAACATAACGAAAACAACAACAGGGTGCAGGATGAAAGAAGTGTCGCAGAAGTTAGCAGACAGAGAGCAATGGATTTCACATGCCAGTATTCACAACTTGGATTAATTTTTATGAAAAGCTGTTTTGATTCTTTTGATCGGTAAAGCCTTACAGACTAAAGGAATATAAATAATCAAGGAACGGACACATTCGGACTTATGGAGCGCTTTAAAGGTATCAGGGAGTCAGCACCTTTCTCCTACCATGCCGGTTACACCGGTAAATCTATAAGAATTAGACTTTTGGACTTGTTGTTTAAATGAACTGAATGACTGAATTGTTGAGAATCTAACCGATCTAACGATGTGTAGCATTACCATACTGACATATTGATCTTACGTTTAAGCACTAATATTTGTATTAACAATCTAAGCAGCTAAAGCGGGCAACCCCGCAGGGTTTAAGAAACAACTTATATAAAAACCAGACCAGGCATTTAATGGAGACCTGCGTTTATTTGTCAAAATGTGTTCCCACACCAGGCCAGTAAACAGGGTAGGCGTCAAATTGGGACTCGGCTATTAATGGACGTTTTACAGTAATACACCGCTGATACTGTGTAAAGAGAGCAAACACTAAACAGCAAACACTAAACAGCGAGCCTTTAATCAATGAGTTCAAATTACACTGGATTACATGCGTGCATCGTGTCCTGTTGCTCCCTTGTGCTTGTGAAGGCTATTTGAATCCAGCATGGAAATGGCATACTCCGCCACTACCAATGATAACTACTATATAGAGAGGTAATTAAAGAATGTAAATATATTTAATGGCTATTGCTGAAAAAAAGCATATCATGAAACTCTTCTGCATTGTAACGCTATATGATGAAAATAAAAAGGCAGCAGTTTTATGTTTAAAATGATCAGCTGCAGAAGTGTCAAGGTCAGTTGTTTAGTCTGGCTAGTTTACCCAAAGCCTGTATACCAGGCTCCTTTTATAAATCCAACACTTTGACCTTTTGGCTTTAGACCATTTAAGAACCTGCTAGGACTCCATGGACCTGTCATATGGTTTAATCCTACCCCCCTCCCTCCCTTTCTCTCCCCTCCTCCTCCTCCTCTTTTTGCCTCTCTGTATCTTGCGTTCCTCTGAAGATGAAAGATGTAGAGAGAGATTAATCACTTGCCATGCCATTTGATCTCAGAATGAAACAAGATCAATAGACTAAGGGAAAACGAAATGGAAAGTTAACCAGTCGAGGGAGTGATAGAAGTGAAAGGCAGCAAGGTTAAGAGTAACATATAGTTCGAATAAATGTGAGGGAAGTATACAAAGAAGGCCAGAGCTGAGGCATGTTCATATTGTCGGATGAACCAGTTGAGACCATACTGTTGCAGAATAACAATAGGTTTCCTTAATATTCACAGAACCAGCACGCAATATCTTCAGGCATTGTTTGCAATCAATAATGATTTAAATAGAATTGATTCAACAAAACAGCTGTAGAATTAACATAATCCCACTGCTCTAAAAAAAAAAAAAATTACATCTAAAGAATATGGACTAAATCGAGATTGATGTAGTAAGCTTTATCTTTTTCAAGAGACATGTTTCAATTATTGTAAGCTCCTGTTTTTTTTATAATCCAGCCTAAAAATAAAAAAGTGTTGCTCTGTTACTTACATTTGAATCGACCTCCAATCCAATGCAGGTCCCAACCAGTCAGCAGAAGGAAGGGATCTATGATGTCCCAAAACGCCATTTCATGACTGTAGGTGTTTTTATTTTTTATTATTTGTTTCTTTACTCTTCTACTTGCAAACCTCTCTTTAAGATCCTCTTGAAGGAAGTGCCTTAAGCCCCCTTTGACAGTGTCCATTTGTAATATTATGCTCCACTGTATTTAATAGTTTTAGTTATGTATTACAGCCTATAGGCTCTAAAATGCATTTCCCAAGCCAAGGGCGCGCCAGACCGCTCTCTATGTCTGCATCCGCTTTCTGTGATGATGACGAAACAAAGCTACATTGGTTTTGCCTAGCCTGCATGAAGACATAAGACTAATCGATTGGTCAACCAAAGTCCGACATGTCAGCAATTTCACAGGACATTAGAGAGGCAGGCTTCATATCCAAAATGCAATCCTGTGCAGAATCTAAGGCATGTCGGGACCAGATGGTTGATACCAATTCAAGTTTGGAGTCTGTTAGCTAGTCTCACCTGACCGGTACAGTGGACTGACTGGATGAAAAAAGGGGCGGCTGTTTTGTCTTCCTCAGAGGATGAGGACGAGAGGTTTGTAGGTGTTGGGTTGAGCTGCATGCAGTGTAGTCACGGCTACATACAATCAAGGCCACAGAACACTCATAAAATCTTAATGAATAGCAGCCTATTTTTCTTTAGAAAATTTATTTGATCAGAAAACAGCACAAAAAGCATTTTTGATTTCCCCCTTTCATCAAACTGAAAATATATTTCATCTCATCCTGGTAGTTCTTCACCACCATGCAGTGACCACACTACTACATCTCTCAAATCGCTTGTAAAAAACATTCATTCAAGCCTATTTCGTCCAAACATTCACCCAGAGAGATTTTCCACACAACTTTTGAAAACAGCCCTAGCAAAGTGCCCCTCTTACTCTTCGCTGTTAGTGTGGTGCTTGTTGCTCAGCATATCAAACAGATAAACTGTCCCGGTCCCCCTCGCTATCTCACCCAAACAGCCCATGCCAGTATAAGTAGCAACGCTTTCCATATCTCTAAGTGTTACTGCTTGTCTGTTCATTCAGTTGGAGCTTTTTGAGAGCCTCGAGCTCCCCTGATGTGTGTCAGTGCCTGCAGGGAGAGACCTCTGTGCACAATGTTTACCTTTTTTCCAAATTCTGTGCACCTCAGTGGTCTCAATGTGCCGCGCAAACTGTGCGATCCGCTGTGTCCCAGCTTATTCAAGGAGGACGTAAACACCCTCTTAGCAGCAACACTGATTGCTGTGATTCCTCCCTTTTCTTTCTTTTGTTGCAATATATTATGTTTGTATCTGTTTATTTCTAGCATGCAAATCCTGTGTGTTCTGTGCGTTTTTGTGCTTTTCCAGTGATTCATTGTCTGCTTGTGCATGGCCCCAGAGACATTTCATGCAACTTAGCCATTCCATAGTCTCTTCCATAGCCGCGTCCCCTCTCCGTCAAGTACTGCGAGTGGAGAACAGAGGGGACTAGAGCAAGGGTCACGTCTGCCTATAGGGTGAGGTGGCCTCATTGTCTCGGCTGGGTGGTTCCAGGAGCTTCTTCCTTCATTCATTCAATGAAATAAACACACTACTCTGCGTATGTGTGTGCTCGCGGAGTAGAATCAGCATGACAAAGCGGCCCAGGCTCTCACGGGGGCCCTTCTTGATTGGCAGACATAAGAATATCTAATCAGAGTCTGTTTTATGGGACTGAATAGCCTTTTTACCCACTCAATTATAGCGAGCCATGAAAGATTCATTTTAGATCAATTTTCTGATAATGAAACGAGGGGATAGTTGTTTCTTGCCATCTACAGCACAAACTGCCTATGTGAATAGATGTCACACCACACACCTACCCACCCATGCTACCACCATACCCTATCTGGAGATGAACTCAGGTTTCATGACTGTGCAAATCTCATTGTCATGATGTATCACCGGACTCGCTCTGTCTCTCTCTCTCTTCCTCTCTCCCTCATCCCTTGACTCGACTCAGAATATCAACCACTTTGATCTTTTTGGCGATATGTCCACTCCTCCCTCGGTGAGTACTACCACACAAAACCAAACCCTGATTAACTTTGTTGATTGATACAAGTTTATAGAACTGCATTTAGTAATTACATATCATATTAGATCTGTAATGTAAGGTAATTTTATTAGAACAGGCAGAACATTCTGAAATGCCTGAATGTTCGACATTACTGCAGATTAAAGATAAATGTGCAGCGCAGTGACTTTTAAGTGACTTTGAAAGTGGTGACGTGTGGGTGTGTGTGTGTGTGTGTGTGTGTGTGCTTTGCCTCCCAGATGCCCCCATCACCTGCCAACACACTGGACCCTAGCAGGAGCAGCCGCCAGCAGCAACACACTCCTGCTGAGATGTATGCCCCCTTCAGCCCCACCTCCGTGCCATCAGGTAGCTACCCAGACTAAAGTGCTGAATATTTTCCACAATACAAAACATAAAAGAGAAAAAGTGCTGGTGGGGATGTCTTTCTTTGATGAGTGGTTTGTGAAAAGCCTTGTCAAGACGTGGCAGGATGTGGATTTAAGGACCACACATCGAGCTTAACCCACAGAGATGTGATGTTTCTTGAAGGACCATACTGGCATTTTTCCACTGAGATTCAAGTTTTCCAAGAACATTCAATAACGCAACATTGTTGTAACACTGTTTAAAGACAGCAGCCTACTGAAGAGCAATATTTTTAATGGAAGAAACAACTCAATTCACATCATCCTTTTCACAATGTGCCTGTCCATGATAACACAGCTTAGGAAGTAAATGCTTTTTGGCAGCTGACTCTCAAATATCAGATGTTGTCCTGGAACACACCAACAGGGAAGCACTTTCACGATAGTCCTTGCATGCAAATGCATTACCATGCAACTGTAAATTGGACAAAAATATAAATGTCCAAAAGAGTCCACTGTCATTATTACTGATCTCAAGCACACCTGTGCCAGTTTGGTTGTATCAAGAAAGCTATATGGAAAGCAATTTTCAGAGGAGATTTCTTTCAGGAAGTTAAGCATGTTTTACACCCCGTACATTGAGTGTTGTGTTATAAATATCATAAATAATTAGCTGTGTACATGTCAATTCAGTGATTCTCAAACTTTATCCGTCACACCAAAAGGTTGAATCAGAACGCTTTTTTTGTTAATGCCCCCCAGGGGGGGCCCGCCCCCCGGTTTGAGAACCACTGGTGTAATTAATGGGTTCAGCCTGGGATTCCATATATGGACCTTCTCCAATGTTGAGTTTACCTGGAGAGATAATTTTGAAACTTCATAATTGTACTTAATAAATCTTTGAGATGTGCATACAGTACCTTCTGAAGTAAGTTTGGGAGTGAAATCAAGCCTGTTGTTGTATGGAAGACACAAAATCTATGTAAAAACTTTGCTGGAATGTAAAGTGTACAGTATGATCCTTGTAGCTAATGGCAAAATTATTCAGCACACATCTCAGAGTGCTGTATAAAACAGTCTGTGGTTTATGTTGAGCATAAAACTGTAAAAGCTTTAGAATGCTGTCCTTAAACACACATTTTTGATATTAATTTCTGCCTTGTATAGCTGTCATTGTTAGCTAAGATATTAATAGAGGAACATGCTGCAATATTGAAAATCGATGCATTGAACTCACAGGAGACAAAATATATTCTGTGCTCATAATAATGATAATCTCGCCTTCCTTTTCCTGTCTAAATATCCTTTAATTATTTCCTTCTGCCTCCTTCTCTTGTTTCTACTCCAGGTTATATGACCATGGGTCCAGTGCAGGCGGCTCAGTGGGCGCAGCAGCCGTTTCCTGCCCAGGCTCAGACTCTGGCCTTCCCCGTGCAGGGGCCCCTCCAGGTGGCTCAGGTCCTCCCCGGTGGTCAGCCGGTCATCTGGAGCCAGGCCAACATTTTCCCTGCCACTCAGCAGCAGTGGGCGGCCATGGCGGCCTATATGCCAGCCCAGACTGTGGGCGTGGGGGGGCACGCCATACCAGCTGCCATGCTCCAAGGCCTGGTACCCATTACCACCATGTGCCCCCAAGCCTGCGACCTCTCAGCCCCCTCCTCTGCCATCACCAGCCCCCAGCACACGGCCGACCCCGCCCTGTTTCAGAGACAGCTGAGCCTGGGGAAGGAAGGCGTGGACTCAGATGCAGGCGAAGGCCCCTCTACATCAGGAGCCGGAGCAGCAGGTGCTGGGTTTGGTGTCGCGTCAGCAGCAGTGAGCAGGTGTGGGACCCCAGGCCTCATGAGTGTACCGGACACACTGGCCTGCAGTCAGCTGCTGCCACCTTCAGCTTCTGTGACCCAGGAAGAGGAAGGGAGCTGTAGTGACCTTGATCTCTCTAGGATGACCTTGAGCCCAGGTACATCCACGTCACCGTCTACTGAATCTCGTAAGTGTTAATTTTTGTCCTTCTACAGAATTGCAATTACAAAATCATCCTCTGTACCACCTTACTTGAAGAATGTGCAAATCTCTGGTGAACTATTTTTATTAGCTTTTGTAGCTGCCTTGCTCTATGAATGGTAATGTCGTCCTGTTGGTCAATCGACCACTTTCGTCCAGACTGGACTATCTTTAACATCAATTAGATCCACTGCCATGAAATGTTGTACCGATATTCTGGTCAAAGTTTTTACTTATCCATTGAGATACCTTAACATCTACTTGGTGAACTGGCACATCAGTGCAGACAAGTACATGAATTTCATGGTTCCAAGATGATGTATCCTAAAGACTTTGGTGATCACCTGACTTTCCCTCTAGCGCCACGATGAGGTGCATCTTTGTGGTTTTGAGTGAAATTTCTACAGAACTATTTCTATGAAATATAGTACAGACATTAATGTGCCCCTAGGGAGGAATTGCAATAACTGTGGTGATTTACATTTTTCCAAAACTTTGGTTTGTGACCAAATACCTGCAAAGCCACTGACATTCCCATCAGCTAACACTGTAAACCAGGGGTTCTCAAACTAGGGGGACATTTTCCCAGAATGCCAGAAAAACTGGAAGAAACCTCAGGAAAAGCAACAGAGGAGGGATCCCTCTCCCAGTACAGACAGATATGCAATAGAAGAAACAAAGAAAGGGTTGGAAAGATGCAGTGGTTTTCAGAAAGTTTACAGTATTCTTGTCAGCAGGACAAACATGGACTATAAGTATTAAGCTTAATAGATTCACTGACGGACACACTGGAAGGATAATGGTAACAGATACGAGTTATCAAAGTATAGGCAACTAACTGAAAGTTAAGGAGAAAAGATGAGTTTTTGGCCTGGATTTAAAGGCCTCACAGTCAGACTGATATCAGCACAGAGGTCATTCCAGAGGAAGGGGGCACGATAGGAAAAGGCCCTGCAGCCTGCTGACTTCTTTTTAACTCTGGTGTCAGACTAAGGTGTGTTTGTTTAGAAAGTTATGCATTATTTGATGGTATACAGAATACACAGTGTCAGGTATAATAGAAAAGAAAGTCGAGGTGATCACATGCAGTAAAGGTTATGGTCTAGATCTGAATCTACTAACATGAGGATACTAAAGATATTAACAGAGCAGATTAGCGTTAAACAGTAAACACTGCACAATCCTTTGACATGCAGTAGATAGCTCTGCGAACTATGTGCATATTTACTATAATGCATTGCTATAGTCCAGAGTGGTACGATTAACGCCAACCCTGGACGAAATAGAAACGGAAGACTGGTACAAGCCAGTAGACAGTTACTGAAAGTTCCTTATTTCCTCTCTTCACAGCATCCACTCCAGCCCCTCAGCAGAGCTCATCTTCAGACTGCCCTCCTTCCCAGGCCAGTGACCCCCCTACAGATCAGTCCCCTGTAGACCCGATGGGCTCCAGCAACGCCAAGGAGGAACAATCGGTGAGCACCATCCCCCTGGATCACATCCCAGCATCCTAGTCAATAAGATTCATGGATTTGATTTAAAAACTGACTGGCATGACGCTATAATCTATTATTGTCATATCTATGATCTGTTCTCAAGTACATTGCATGCACGCAGAGTAAAATGTCATGTGATTAATATGAGCAAATGGGATTGATTTTACCCTTTTTTTTCCAGAAAAATGTCAAGTCAATTAAACATGAAAGGCCAAAAATGATTGAAGTGTCTTGATTAGATCATGTATAATAAGGCAGCATTATGTTTCATGGTAATTCTAGTCATTTTCCTACATGTTCAGCTTGTGTTTTTCTGGGAAATATGGAAGAAAAGGATTTTGCCAGAATGGTGAAGAATAGTTGATTTTGCCAAAGCATGTCCCCTGCAAAACACAGATTTTACAGCTTTCATTCTCTCTCTCAGGGCTCTGTTGTTGCAAGGTCAATCTCTCCGGTGCTCAGTGGATCTCCTGATCCTCAGCAGGATCAGATTTGTCCACAGGAAGACAGCTAGAGAACAACAGACACTGAGTGGGTATTGGATGGTTCCCTCCTCTCTTATTTGCCTGTGTTAACTATCAACAACCTTCACATTGTCATGGATTTTCTCCCCTGCTCTTTTCATCAACACATCCTGCTGCTCTTTTTTCATAACCCAGCTCTGTGTTTCTTTATTAGCTTTATATTTTCATTTGTCTCCTTTTTTCCCTGCAGATGAGTGGTTTGCTGCCAATTGGAAAAGAGTCTTGGTTTAGTTTAGTGTTTCTGTCATTATGCCTCTCTGCGTCACCCAAACAAAAGATTAGGAAGGCACAATGTTGCCACCTGGTGGTTAAAGTTGTAATTGGACAAATATAAGTTCACAATATGTTGATCATGTGACATGTTTCTGTTTGTCTTGTAGGGGATGGAAGCTCTCAAGGCCACGACAGAAGCTCATGAGAAAGAGAGAGAGATGAAGGACTGTGAACAGCAGCATCTCTCACAGCTGGATTACACAGACTTGTTCTGTTTTTTCAACCTTTGAAGGATATTTTGGCAGTTCTGTAATAAGCTGGCTATGCTAGGCTCTGCTTTCCTCCAGAGGCCACATACTGTTCTGTACTCCTCAGCATGACACCCAGACTTTGGCTTTATCGTCCAATCAAATAACCTTTTAACCAGGAAGTGACCTTTGACCGAAACCTTCAACAGGAAGTGATTGCACCCTCCTGTAATGGATTAATGAGTTTATACCTGTGAGGATACGTTAAATGGCCATGGTGACACGGATGATGCAAATTTTTTTGGAACATTTCATGAGGAGCAGCGTCCTACTGTATGTGGTTGACTTGCAGTTTGTCAGCTGCCACCAGCAATGACTGTGCACAGCAGATGGATTTGCCAAATGTTCTCATAGTGTTGCTCTACCGATTCGTCCATTTGCATGAACAGACTTAATGTGGATTCAGCTGACTCTCTGCAGCTTCCTTCTAGATAAGAAACAAATCAAAAACTATAATTTGGTTTTCTTATTTTATAAGCTGTAAATTCTCAGCTGATGACACTGAGTCATTAGAGGTATTGAAATGACTTTAAGGCATCAATGTCGAAATCAGAATTTGCCAAACATCTATTTTGTAAATAAGAATCTCCCCAGTCCCCTATACCTGAGCCTCTGTGCCATAAGATAGCTCTCTGCCTCTTGGATGCCAACTACCTGTGTTTCTCTCAAGCAATGCCCTACCAGCACTTCCATTTTTGACGTCTGGATGTTTGTTTCACTTTTGCTGCCATTTATTTCTCATTTCGGAAAATGCATTTTTTTTTCTGTTCAGTTGGTGAGATATGAACTGTGAATCTGTGTTACATGGTCATTCAAAATAAAGCCTGCTGTCACCTGTCTCACTCATTTTGAACTTGAACTTGACTTTTTTTAGTAAATAGGAGGCAGGTTTTCCTGCATCTCTTTTTTTTTAGATATTCTACATTTCAAGCTGAGGTCGCATTGTTTACAACTTGCCTCTTAGAATCATATCTCTGTTTGGTTTCTTGAATAAATTAGCAGAATAAACCCATACTGATGTGACATGGCTTAATAACCACAAGCTCAGAGACAGTAGAGTGCATTTCTATGCCTTATCAGGTTTATTTTTGTTGTCCAGTCACTGTTCTTCTTGTCAGATCATTTGTATACAGTAAACAGGTCATTGTTGTAACAAAGCACTTGGGCATATTGTAGGTCTGCTCCACCGAATCAAAATGGTCAAAAGAAAGGCAACGTTATATAATATGATCAATAGAGATATCACTATTAACTGCTAGACTTACAATAACAAACAGTAACTGTACCCCTGCTTGTGTAAGAAAAATGACAAATAGTCCAACATATTTTGTAAATTTTATTTATGGAGTTAAGAATTGTCATGAAAAAGAGAAAAAAAGGACTTTTGTACGTCTATGACTTCCCCATACACTGTACCCATTCCACTGTTCAGTCACAAATAAAATATCATGTGATTCCCACTTATCCGCTTGGTTTTCTTTTCTTTTTTTTAACCCTATCTCTAATGACCTACTGTGAAGAACACTGACAGAGGATCCTCTCTTCACACAAATACTTCTCTTCCATGCAGGCAGTCATTGTCATGTGACTGTTTGTGATACATTAGTATAATCCTTTTTTGTGCTGAATTTTTTATTTCATCATAAAAAGAACTGAAAAGAACAAAACTGTACTTTAGTGAAAGTACAGAGGTGTTCAAGCCAAAAGTCAACGTACCCATCATACAGAAAAATGCCCCTGTAATTAATAGCCTATATACTGTAACTATGTATCACGATATTAGATTTTGAACACTGATACCTTCAGTGTCAGTGTATAAGCATCATGTAGCTGGGCAAAGTAGAGACAGATTTAACTACTTTTTCTTCAAATAGGTTCAGTAGTTTCCAACCTAGGGGTTGGCCCACCTTCAAAGGGTCACAATATAAGATAAAGAGATGACTTTTTTGCTTTTGTTGTGAAATATTGGAAAATTTTACCTCTTTTAGCATCAAACAGTTTTTATTTTGATGAGACAATCTGAGAAGTTAAGAGGGGAAATCACTCTTTGAGGAAGTACAAATAACTCGTAAAGTTTGTAAGGTTTCACAAGCCAAAATTTTCAAAATCCACTGGTTTAATCTTTTGTATTACTTTGTATTTCATAAGCTTCTCATATGTTTATTCTACAAGGACAAATCTTAACATAGTGTTTGTTAAAGTTGCATTATTAGTAATATCATTAGTAGCAGTTTTAGTAACAGTCATTAGACATAATTTAGCATTAGTAATTGTGTTATCTTGCTTTCCACTGCATAAGTAAACTAAAGCTGGGTCATGGGATTGCGTAATTCTGTAAAATCCAAAATGAGTGAAGGTAAGCAAAGTTCAAAGGTCATATGTACACAAACATGACTCAAATCATTTGACCACAGAAGTCTGTCACAGGAGCATACTTCATTACAAAGCCTTCATTTTCCATCACTGGCATATGTTATCTAAACTATGTTTTCTGTCCATTTCAGATTTATCATATTACTACAGATCAAAGTTTATGATAACTGAAGAGACATGCAGACCTCCTGGTTGGCTATTTAACTTGGCTGCAGATCCTAAACAACTTCATTATAAACCTGAGGTCTGCATCAACCTGTGTTAAATACACACTGACATGAGACCTAACACCACAACACCTAGTTTTGTGGCTGTGAGTCCTGCAGCATTGTGTATTCAGCTCCACCTCTGAGTCTAATGGCAGCAGTGAGTTCATATCCAGGCCACTATTGATCAGTGTGTGTTTACATAGAGAACTGAGCAGTGTCCTCTACTCCTTCACAGTCACTCATAATACACAACCATGCTTTCTGTTGTGATAAGGATGAGTGCACTCAGTTTGCAGTGCTGTCTACTGCATGTTATTTTGAGCCAGGTACTGCTAAGGTAGGTGTTTTATTTGTCTCTTAGTAATAAATAATAGAATGTCTATATTTTTTGTTAAATTCCCATTGAGGTTAATGTAATTGATGACATGCCACCTAATACACAAAATGTTTCCAATGTGATATTAAAAGTAATTTCACTTTAAACATTCACTTTATTTTTTCTAATTGAGATCTCTCAGGTGTTCTGTTAATACTTCCTTTCTTCCAAAGTGGCGGAAATGTCTGTTAATGTTAATTTGATTTTCATGTACATGTCACAGCAAAGTTGCTGTCACAACAGTGAGCAATGACGAGCCTAGTGTTCGTGAAGCTCGGTCAGCGGGCAACGAGGTGGTAGTTCATCCAGTGGACTGTGTTTTATCAGAGTGGAGCGCGTGGTCACGCTGTGACACCTGTCAGAAAAAAAGAGTAAGTATGATGATATCAGACAGGTGATAGTGGGCCTGGGGGGTTGCAGCCACAATACATGAAATGCGTTTGTTGGCCCATCAGGACACCACAGTGTTTCCCTGATAATATTAAAATGGAATAAAATCACCCATAGTTGATGTTGATGTTTTGCATGAAGTTTACACTCTTATGACAAGGAACTGGCCAGTTACAGCAAATTAAGATACAGTTAAGTATGGCAGAAAAGCTTTAGCTCCACCCCCTTAACACATAAATGAACCATCCATCCATCATCAACCGCTTATCGTGCGTACAGGTTCGCGGGGGGGCTTGAGCCACTCCCAGCTTACATCGGGCAAAAGGCGGGATACGCCCTGGACAGGTCGCCAGTCCATCGCAGGGCCAACATAAATGAACATTAAATCTAAAAATTGTTGTGTAAACAAGACAAGATCAAATAATGAAACAGAAATACACAGACCAGGTATAACACCAACATGAACTAAACCACAGAACTAAGAACTGAGGCAAGGAACTGAAATGCAGGACTTAGACCTAAGACTAAGAGACAAGACATAAATAACCAGGGACAAGGAACTAGAGAAACAGAGGCAAATAAAAAGACACATGAAACAATGGCAAAAACCAGAAACACATAGGGAAAAAATACAACTCAAACATAACCCAAAACTAACAAACAAACATAACAAAAAATATCACATAAGGAGGAGGTTTGAGTGCTGTGGCATGAGCATATCAACTGAGTAATAATGACAAGTGTTGAATTATAATAATCATGCTGTATACCTGTATGAATATGACTGGATGTTGCAAGTCATCTGATAGCCTGAAGCATGACTGAAACAGTTCATGCCAAACAGCTAATACATGTGCAACTTTAGTGCTCTGCCTGAACTAATGCTGTGCTTCATTCTTTAGAAAATATTGTTTCATTGTTTCCCCCATGATGTGGAAAACCCTCTGAATCAGCCCGGACACTATCCTGCCACATCAAACTTCCCCATTGAACACATGCTAACGATATCATCTGATTTTCTACTTGTGCTCCTCAACCAACTTCCTCAGCAGGAAAAATACATTATAGGCATTTAAGTGAAGAGTTTCTTTTACAAAACCCTTCCAACCCTACCACTCTCATTTCTGTATGGAAATATGAATACAGCCAGCAGCAGCCATTTAATTTAGCTTAGCACAAACACAGGAAACTGTGAAACAGCTAGCCTCCAATGTGAAGGTTAAATTTAGGTAACAGAATCTGATTAGCCACTGTTTTTGTTTCATCTATATAAAAACAGTGACATATCTGTCTGTTTTATGGGGGTTATGTGCCATACTACTTCTTGTCGAGAAATTAGTCCGACAAAGAAACAGTTTGTGGTAGATGAATTACCTGTGGACCTGAGCCACACTAGTTGTGTCCCCTTGTTTTCAGCCTTTGTGCTAAGCTAAGTTAGCCAGCTGTAAACGCATTTATTTACAGTAGTAAATAAATACATTTATTTCCCAGAATTTCAAACTTTTAACTGAAAATTGTTAACTCTAACTTAATAATAAAGCAATATGAATAAAATGTACAAAAGAAGAAGAAAAACAACTGGTTTCATGGACTGCATATAGCTAATATCCCACTGAACTTCTGGCCAGACAAACTTATCTAACAAAGTGTAATGCAGCAGGTCTCATAAATGAAATTAGATGTAGATTAATAAACCATTCCTATAGTGCTTGGACTGAGAGATAATTAAAATTCTGCATTACATATTTTACCCTTGTTGGCTGTTTTTCTGTGAGGTAGTATTCCACTACTGGCAAGCATCTCAGCTGATGTACTTCAGTACTCTATCTCATTCACTTTACAAGGAGGGGGATTAATAACCTTGACATGACAAAGTGAAAACAGCCCTCTAATGGGATTATGGCTGTTATAGTTCCCCGATGGCAGTTTCTGAGGCGAGCCTTCCTCTGTGTTTCTCTGACCATTTATGTGTTTGTCTCCCTCAACCATCCAGTATCGCTTTGCTAAGCTGGACCAGCCGTCTCAGTTTGGAGGACAGCCGTGCAATTTTCATGGCAGGGAGGAGGAGGCCTGTAACGTTCCAGACCGCTACACCTGTGACAATGTTCCTTTGTGTGAGGGATTTTTCTGTACCCAAACAGGTACACCCATCCATCCATATACACTACTCTCCGTTCTGGAGCTGGCATTATAAAGTCTTGTGTTATACAACCTCACAGCGGTAACACTGAGTGTTAGGATGTTTAAAATTCAAGTCACAAGAAGAAGAACATTATTAGTCTGTGTTTGATGTGAGTGAGTCATCTCTTCATTCCAGTCAGGAGATTGCAGACTACTTTGCATTTTGCAAGAGCTTTGTTCGTAAAGGAATAGTTTGACATGTTGGGAAATACACTTATTAGCTTATTATGTTGCAGAGTTACATGAAAAGATCGATACCACTCTCATGCCAGAACACTTAACATGAAGCTGCAACCAGCAGCCAATTAGCTTGCTGTAGCTTCATATTTAGAGGGACAGACGTAACATTTATTTGTCTTATATAACTTTAAGCAAGAAAACAAATCAGCATATTTCGAAAATGTCAAACTAATCATTTTATTTTGGAAATGAACCATTACTAAATGCCATCCACATCGCTCCTCAACTTCAGGTCGCTGTATTCCAAGAACTCTGCAGTGTAGTGGGGAGGATGATTGTGGGGACATGTCGGATGAAGTCGGGTGTAAGAAGGTTTCCAAGCCCTGCAGGCAGGAGGTGGAAGAGTACTGGGGAATCGAAAACCTCGCCAAAGGGTGAGTTACATTCCCATTAGACTGCAGAGTCAGATATTTTGGAGGACTTTGGTACGTAAACGTGTTGCTCTTCTCAAATCAATCTGCTCACTGTTAATGCTGTTGCTGTTACTCATCTTTCAGAATCAACATCTTGAACAGTAACCTGGAGGGAGTGGTGCTTGATAACAGATATTACGCTGGCGGCTGCTTACCACACTACATCCAAGATGTCAGATTCAGGAAGCCTTACAACTTGCAACAGTACACTCTACAGGTGGAACCGACTGGCAATCACACTATTGTATAATGAGTATTGAGTTGCAGTTGACATACGAGATTAAAGTTTATTCAGCATTACTTTCTAATGTCACCCTTTATTATCTTATTTCTTCTCCATCCATCTCATTATTTTATGTGTCCATGTTCTAACATAATTTAGAGTAAATGTATTGTTTAATAATATGGTCCTGCTTATAAAACACTAAAAAGGAAATTTTGCTTCCCATGTATCTACAGACAAAAGGCTCGTATGATTTCACCCTGCAGTCTTTTGAATCATATTCTGACTACATGGACCACACCGTGAAGGAGCGCATGACCAAAACTACGGTTTCCTTTGGCTTTGCCATTCCAGGCATAGTTGAATTTGGCTTCAACTTCAATGATGAAAAATTCACCAAATCAGTTCAGAAGATCCGCCGTGCTTCTGGCAAGGTGAGATGTCGTTGTGTCTCCTGACACTTTTCTCTTACTGATTTCTCAAAAACATAACAAACCAAACCAAACTATGGATTTACAATTCATACAAACCCACAAGTCATTTAAAATATCTGCAAATTCCCACTCCAGTTTAAACCTGAAAGCAGTGCAGTATCCATCACCTGCCTCCCGCTGATTCTCCCCTCAGACTAACAGTTTTGTGAGGGCCAAAGCAGAACTGGAGTTGGCCCAGTACATGTTGAAGTCAGATGATCTGATGCTTCACCCAGAGTTCCTGCAGCGCCTGCGCTCCTTGCCACAGTCCTATGTTTATGGGGAATACAGACAGATCTACAGAGACTACGGCACCCACTACATCACAGAGGCTGCACTGGGAGGAGACTATGAGCACACCATTATCCTGAACAAGGAGAAGCTTGAGAAGTCAGGTAATAGATATTAGTGGCTCCCAAACTGGAGTCATAGTAAGTCAAGGTTGGTTTATTTAGTACATGTTGTAAGAATGCACCTGTGGTAAACTAATAAACCATTGCACTGAAACCCTCATGGCCCAATTCTGTGAACGGTAAAATAATTTTGAAATACAGTAACCACCACCTTAGTTTTGTTGTTCTAGATTATTCTTTGGAAGACTACAAGCATTGTACGCAGTCAGGTCTTAAGGTTGGGGCCAACATCTATGGTGTTTATGTGTCAGCGGGGATTCAGGGTGGATCCTGTGATGGCCTGCTGAATGAAATTGGAGGTGAGGGTCCATCTTTTATCAAATGCCCTCCCGAATATGTCCCTTCTTCCATCTCATGATCTGATACTAAAACTCAAAGTCATTGTGTCTCTCTCCAGAGGACACAGTGCATGGCAGCATGGTGGAGGACTTTGTTGCTGTTGTAAAGGGTGGGAGCAGTGAATCTATCACTGCTTTAGTGTCTAAAAAGCTTCCCACCCCGCAGCTGATGGGGCTGTGGGGCAACAGTGTGCGTGCCAATCCTGACTTCATTCGCACAACAGTGAGTTTTTTTCACTAAATTATGTATTGATTCCTTTTTTTCACTTACATTGTCTATATCTGTTTTTGTTCATGTTACATGACTGCTATAGTCTTGTAACTTGTATAGTGTAGTATACTCTCTTTATCTTTTCCTCCCGCAATCTCTTGTGACATTAACACAAATATCACCTCTTCAAATGTTCCTTTGTTTATTCACCATCTCAAATTGCATCTATAATAAAACTGTCTACAATGAATTTGATGTGAGTAATTGATGCAGAAACATTTAAAAAAGAGCTGGGCATTGGTGGTACATAGATTGGCACTATTACAGAAAGGCAAAGTACAGCTAGGCTGATCAATAGCAAGTTAGAGAACAAACAGCAAAACGTGCCAAATAGCAGCTGCACCACATACACATAGGCTGCCTTGCTGCAACACGGTCACATTTCAGCATTTGTGGGGCTATCCAGTTGGCTCTGTCTAAAAAAAAAACCTAAAGAATTAAATATGAAAAGCAAAAATATCCTGGTTTAATAATGACATTTGTGTGTCATTAGACACGACCACTGTATGAGCTGGTGACTTCCAGAGACTTCTCCCAGGATGCCACCCTGAAAAGAAACCTGAAGAGAGCCCTGTCAGAGTACCTGGCAGAGGCTAGTCCATGTCGTTGTGCCCCCTGCCACAACAACGGAGTGGCTGTTTTAAGAGGTACCTCAGAGGACATTATTGTTTGGTGTTTATTTTATGGTTCCATTGTCATTATTGACTGAAAACTGAAATACTGCATTATTCTGATCTTCTTTCCTAAGATATGTTTTGATTTCACTCATAGTTTGTGCCATAGCTTCAAGGTGATTATGCTTTCTCTTCATTTCTGTCATATGTAGGCTTAAATAAATTGTTACAATGTCACATGATCAGCAGTGGCACAGCGCTAAAACAAAGTGGACATAGGTCTGGCTATGCAAGACTGCTCTGCTCAGGACTACACTTTAAGTTTTTTAGGTTGTTCAGTAGGCCTATGACTTGTAGAAAATGCGTTTTCGTTTGTAAAGGAAAATTTGTTAGTTTCTTGATGGACTACTGCTACTACTGCTAAAGGTAGATGATGTTAGCTAATTAGTTTAGTTAGGCATGCAGCTAGAGGTCCCATTAGCTAGCTGACTCTGCCTGGACTAGGAGCTCATTGCCTGGGCCTGAAACCTCCAAACCTCCCCTGTTGCTGGATCTCCCAGTCCGAACAGAGAAAGCTAAGCTAATAGGGCCGCTTGTTAAAGACAGAACAAACTGCATAAAGGGTCAAAATAAAATAAAACTGTGTATCATGCAAAGCTACTATTGTGGAGTCACAGACTAAAAATATATAGTTGGAAATTTGAAAAATAGGTTAATGTTCAGTTTTAGTGACATTTAGATAGCAAGTAACACCAATAGAACTGTCTCTAAACTCATTTTTGGACTTTTTGTTCCCAAACACAAAAAAATACTGCAGAAAGTTGATGATTACAGTGATGGTAACGATCCTGGGGAAAATTAAGATAGTGAAAGAATTATCTCCATTTCCCTCAAAAGGCACCAGGTGTGACTGTGTGTGTCCTGTTGGCTATACTGGACGGGGCTGTGAAATCACTCAGAGGCGAAAAGGTTAGCATTCAAGATCCAAAATACAAAACACTGCATACGACAAAGCCTTATTTTTCTTTCTTCACTCTACTTTGCTACCTGCTGAGATATTGACTCAATGAGATATGATATGGCTCCTTCTGACAGATATAGCCATTGACGGCAGCTGGAGCTGCTGGGGTGCATGGTCATCCTGCAGCGGAAGAACGATGACAAGGAGTCGACAGTGTAACAACCCAGCGCCCAGCAATGAAGGCTTGGCATGCAGAGGACTGCAGCAAGAGTCTACTGAATGCTTTTAAAATCTGCTCAACAGCCCTGATTGTAAACCTTGACTTTAAGATTTCTAAAAAGGTCATTGAAAATCGAGGTTTTTAAATATTTGAATAAAAACAGACTTGGAAATGGGATATCGTCAATGATTATTTTATTTAGAATATCACATTATGTCTGTCATTTCAAGATGTATGTCTGCACTGATGTGGATTCAGATTCTGCTACCCAATTTTAACCTTCACATTGGAGGCAATTTAGAGAAATGTCCCATATATTTAAAACTGTTTAACTGTGCTTCAAAAAAGTCCAGACAGGAAAACATTAACAGATACATAGTAAGGTCTACCTTAAATTTAAATTATTTTGGAAAGAAATTAAATTAAATTTGAAATCTCAGATAATGACATAAGGATTTTAAATTAGCAGTTTTTATTAATAAAAAAAACAAACACTAGATGATTCTGAATTACCACTTAAGAGCATCTGAGTTTGAGGAAAATGTCACTCTAACAGTGTTCAGTCTGAGAGGAGGAGCCCAGGCAGGCTGCTCCGCCCCTGTCAGGTGCAGGATTATCACAGGTTCTTGTCCGAGTCTTCCTCCCTGATGCACAGGATGACCAGGCGCCCCAGCATGACCATGACCCATCTGTCTTGGTATCTGTTGAGTAAAATTAAAGGGGGTTTAAGCAGATTTTAACAAAAGGATGTAGATTTGGAAACAGGATATGTCTGCACACTGTCATTACTCCATCGCATCCTCTGAGTAAATTAGGCGGCTTATCCGTGTGTCAGCAAATGGAGAATAGACCCTATCGATCTGTAGGCCTACAAGAAAACACTACTGCACATGCATGAGGAATTTTACAAAAGGATAATTACCAAATAAACAACTTCCTGTCAGAGGTGAGACAAAAGTAAGACAGAAAGTACTTTCACTAAAGTATAATTATGAGGTACTACCTGACCACATACATTTTGTGAGCCTCTAGTTTTACTCCATGGCATTTTAGAAGGAAATATTTTACTCCACTACATTAAGCTGACAGCTTTACCTGTTCACAAAACAAGGTCTGTATGCATTAGACCCCTGGCAACATTAGTAAGCTTTAAAGGAGCTGATAGGCAGTTTTTTTTAACTTTGGACGGAGCCAGGCCAGCTCTTTCCTCCTTCTTTGAGTATTTACACTAAGCTAAGCTAAGCTAACTGTCTCCTGTCTCCAGCTTCTTATTTAAGACAGGTATGACAGTGGCATCGTCTCATCTAACTCTCAGCAACAAAGTGGATGTGTTGAACTCCATTGCTTTTACTCATGACAACAGCCTCACCTCTTCTGAGAGTCTCTTCACAGGCCTCTCCCTGGTAACCTGACTCACAGATGCATTTACAGGAGGTACCCATGAGGACAGGGATCCCGTTGTGTCTGCAGGCGGCGCAGCGACATGAGTCGAACTGCTGCAGATACTCTTCCCAGCCCCTCTGCAAGTTGGCCAGTCTGGCACCTACATGGTCAGCTGCTGTGCTGAGGCGCACTAGCTCATAAACTGGCATTGTCTGGGTCATAGGGGAGGAAGGCCAGAGAGACGAGAAAGAGGAAACTTAATGAAAAGCAGATGACTACACCAGCAAAGGCACAAAAGTAGTGGGGTCATAAATTGATGAACTTGTTGTGTTTTTCTTCTGTTAATGAGCATGTTATGTCAAATCATTGAAAATGTTTCTTACAGAAAGTTACCTCATATTCAATGAGTGTTGGGTTGTATTTGAGAGTGGCTCCCCATTTCCTGTATGTGTCTGGGCTCCTTATAGCCAACAGGCCACTGCTGCTGTCTGTGATTCCCCCCTTCACTAGAGTAACGATGTCCTCAATCACAGCTGAACTAGAGTCCTTGACTACATTTCAAAAGGATTTAAAAGAAAATCACATATATAATGCAAGCTCTAACAACAGATTAGTACAGCAATGCTTCATATCATTTGTTAGAACAAATTAGACATTTACAAACAAAGCTAATCAATTCAAATTTTAACTAATTTGGTAGAGGACCTCAAGTAGGGTTAGCTACCGGTAGGATTTTAATGCCTCACCTTGTTCAAACCTTCCTTTTTTATTGCATGTTTTCCCACCCACTTTGAATTCTGCTGTTCCATAGCTGTTGATGGGAAAGCTCAAACCAATAGAGGCACCAAGGCATCTACCAGCTTGTTCACCCTCAAGGTCTGTGTATGAGGAGGATTAAATTGTTAAAGGTTACTTTACCTTCCATATGCTATTAGATGATATTGATTAACAAACTGGAAAGACCACAGTACTTGATTCTGCCATAGATGTTTTGTTGACAACCACAACATATTCAAGCGTTCCTCCCATAGTTCCCTCTGTGACATAGTGGGTGCCAAACGTGTTGAAGAAGCGGGAGTACATCCCAAAGTCATACTGCTCGGGGAGCTCCATGAGTGAAACGTAGAAATCTTCATGAAGCATCAACTTATTGCTTCTCATTTTGAAGTGGGCTGTTTGTACTTTGGACCAAAGCCTAACAAACCCTAGGTCCTGTGGGAAAAAAGGCAAGAAGAAGAAATAGCTATGATGATGAAGAAAAATGTTTTATAAAATTGTAACTTATTAATACCCCAAATAATGTTCTTTTGACCACAGGCACTCAATGCTTTTTAGTGTTTTAGAGATAAATTTAGGGCAAGTATTGCTTACAATACCACTATCATATTTAACAGTTAAGTATTAAGTTACAGCCTGCTTGTCAGTCGGTGTCAGTTGTATGGAGTCTTTAGAGTTTGACACGTCCAGTCGGGTCGGGTCTAGTCGTAGAAAGTCGGACCAGTGTGCGCCATTTTCCAACAAACCGCAACATTCTGAGAGTGTTCCCTTGACAACTAAGCCTATACTCGCATGCCAAATTATGCATCCACCTCTTTAGGTCCTTTTCAGACACTTTGCTGTGCTCATGGATCAAATGGTGTTATCACTACATATATTTAATTAATGTCAAGGAATGGTACTTCTACTAGGCCTAAGTGTATTGAAATATTAAAGACTCGTTCATAAAATATATACTTCGAATAATTTAACACCATTGATGGACCCCACAAAGAATATTCTAGCGTTTAAAAGCAGCATTTGGAGGTGCATGCAATTCTCGGGCAGGCAAAACTAGGCATAACACCTGAGCGCAGGCAAGCTGTCCTAGCTATAATCTACATCTAGCATACAGCTGCTTTTATCTGGATCAAACAGTCATAACATCCTAATAAACATCACTTTACGTCCGTGGTAGTAAAGGTATGTATGTCTTTGTGAAACAATGTTGAGCTGTGGTTCAGTGGATCATACCTGACTTTTATACTGCGTTATGTTCCGGAGAAACTCAGATTCCACACTTGTACTCAGTCCCGCTTCCACATAATAGATCCCAACTGTGAAACCAACATTGGAAGAACTCATACTTTTCCTTGCTTTCAGCAGGCTCAGCATATCTTCATAGTATTCCTGAGAGCCCTCTGATGTAGCTTGAGCCTGTAACAGGTTGAACCTTATATCAAAATGTCTTAGCTCAAACATCCCATTTATTAAGTTACACAAAGAAATAATTCACAACATTGTAATACCAAAAAACGGTAGGTATGGTAGTTGTAAGGTTTCCTGTAGTTCTTCTCGTCGTCATTGTAGTGCAGGTTCTCACAGAATGAGTCATAGATGAATTTCCTCCATTCACCATTGTAGACATATTCACACTTTCCTCCAAAGTACCTCGGGTCAATTATGTGATCCACAAAGTCTCCAGTCAAGACATTGTATCTAGGTAAATTAGAATAATTCACATTATTCATAAGTAAAAGCAGATGCGTGTATATACATGTAAGCAATGTTTTAGCAATTGTTTTAGCAATTTTGATGTGTTGATGATGTATGTGCTTATTGAAAACACATGTGATAATGTGATATAAACTATGTAAAGCAAATTATACACCAGTATTTACCCCTGAGTGCCACGTTCAGCACCAGGGATTGGCATGAGGGTGGAACACTTGTCGTCTCTCCTGTTGAAGTTGTCACAGCCGTCTTCATCAGAAGAATCCTCACAGTCTGGCTCTCCATTACAGCGAAGGGACTGGCTGATGCAGCGCCCTGGAGAGACAGTTTCACTCACACAGATCTACATGTATTGTGCACACACGAACAGACAAAACACCTTTGACTTAAAGAAATTGTGCCGTCTGAGTGGTTGCTGGTGGGACTTGCCAGTTTCTTTGCAGGTGAAGCTCTCTCCACAGTAATCTGGCACCAGACACTGTGTGGTTACTGTGGGACATGCCAGCCTCTCCCACAGTGTCTCAATACACTCTGTGCCACCAAACTGTGAGGGCTTCTCTAAATATCGGAAACGGAACTAAAGACAGAGTTAAAAATGAGTTAGCACTTTCAATCACTCATTAAGTCAATTCCCCTATACCATCGTTAAGATATAGATTGATACAGAAACACGAAGAAGCAGGCAGAAATAGGCCATGTATATTCCATTAAATGATGCTCATAGAATTCAGTTCAAATTCAATAAATGTTTATTTCTGCATTCCATTTAAGCAGCTATGTAATGTGCGATATGTAGTGTCTAGGTGGTTCCAAAGATCATAAATGAGTTGTGTATTTTGGAGATTAAATCTCAGGAACATAGTAAAACCAAGGCCCACTTTTATTGACCTTATTGGAGTACTGATTTTTGTTCCCTTTGGACCTATGGATCAGCTCATCCATAATGTATTGATCTGAGCTACCTGACAGAAACCAGTTTCAACTCCAGTGTTTTTGAAGAGAGTTCTAGTTTTCCTATGGGCAGGTATTGCATAAGCCTCCCACAATAAAAGCTGTAATCACAATTGTCATTCAACCGCTTTAAATTACTTTAAATTAATGATTCATGCAATTTATTGAGAAGAACACCATTACCTTTTTGTCTGTGCAGGAGTTACAAGGAGTCCAAGGTGACCAGGCCCCCAGCTTACAGTTGATGGGAATTGGCCTGTTTACAGCTCTCGTCCTCCTTATCCCTGCCCCACTGCCCCCCCAAAAAACACCCTTTATCGTCTCAGATCTTCTTCTAACACCCATGGAGCATG